TATACATACATACATACATACATATATACATACATACATACATACATATATACATACATATATACATACATACATATATACATACATATATACATACATACATACATATACATACATACATACATATATTTATATACATACATACATATATACATACATAGATACATACATACATATATATATATATACATAGATACATACATACATACATACATATATACATACATACATACATACATATACATATACATACATACATACATACATATATATATACATACATAGATACATATATATATATATACATAGATACATACATACATACATACATATATACATACATAGATACATACATACATACATACATACATACATATACATACATACATACATACATATATATATACATACATACATACATATATATATATACATATGTAAATAATAAATGGTGGATTCATCCGAGAACGACTTTCCTCATAGGATAGCCCCCAAGAAGGAAATTCCGGGGATCTCCGATCTTCCACTGAGACCTGTGCTCACGATCAATGGGCGCGGGAACCGAGACATGGAAAGCGAGATTTCCCCAATGTGGGCCCCCCCGGTGATGTTTATTGGTCTATAAACCCCATTAACTATAGTTATTTGCGTATCATAAACCATAGTTATTGGAGTTATAAATAACCAACTTAGCGATTTCGTAAACGGGGGCCCCACATTGTAACTATGTCCAATATAGAAAGATTATCCTGAAAAATCCGGGTCTTAGATTAGATGATATTAGAATTTGAACTGAAACATAATTTAATATTAGATAATTACACTTGATTAGGATCAACGACTATGGGTTTTTATCATGTTTTATCTAAATATAAGGTACCTCAAAAATCCTCAAATTGGACGGTTTACCACGTCTTTCCAGTCAAACTTACTATTTGTGGGGGATGGTTGTTTGCAGTAGGTCAGACCGGCAGCAGTCGGGACCCCCCAATAAAGGGTTTTTCATATGGGTTCGGGACCAAACATGGACACCTCACCATATCCTGACGGCCAAAGATAATAGTTTTAATGGAGAAAATCATTGAATCAATATTTATGGTTCCTTTGATCCATATATTTCTATAGTTACCATGAAAATATTTTTACTGGTTGGTGGTTTCATACATGGCTTTTATTTTCCATTTCATATATGGGTTGTCATCCTTCCCATTGACGAACTCATATTTTTCAAGATGGTTATTGCACCACCAGCCAGTCTATTCTATTCCCTATTTTTCTCCTATTTTGGGTGAATTTCCATATAGTTACCATCTATTTCTATCACCAGAATTGATGGAGAAAATGATGAATTGGCCCCCTCTGTTCATCAGTCACATGATGTCACATGGCCTGCTGGGGATGCGAAAGCTCCATGGAGCACGGGGGATTTCCCTGGCCATGACACAAAGGAGGGGACATTTCGTCTCTTTTTGGGCAGCTTTCTTTGAGACAAAGTTTGCTTGGGGAGACCCTTGAGACCTGGAAGTACCATGAACAACTCATTCAACTCATTGGTCATATGGGTATGGGTCAAAATTAGGTACCCCAATAATTGGATGGTTAATAATAAACTAGACATTCACATCTGTGGTCCCACATCGGTCTTCCATTTTGACCCACATCCATATCTATACCTCACGAGCTCAAAAAATGTTCGAGGATGGTCAAAAATGGTCGCTGGTTATATGGTGCCATGTTTTGGGACCCAGAAATGGCTGCGCCACAAAAAACGCCACCGGGATGATCCTCCAAGTCCAATTGGGGATGGCGCAAAACCTCAAAACAAAATAAAGGGGGCCAGCCATTTTCAAATGGGGCGGCTTTCATCAAGTTTTCAGGCCAAACATCCAAAACAGTTTTTTTTTGGCTTGAAAACACAATTTTGTTGTTGCTATTCTTGGTCTATTTTTTTTTGGGTCCAAAAAGATTCATCTTCACATCCGAAATTTTGGATCCAAAAACGTGGTAAATCTCCCCATGTGTGGTAAATCACCGTGGTAAAAAAACAAACGTTTGGACCAACCCCTGTCGCTCAGGTGTTGGTAAACCGCCTGACCATCCGGGGGCCAGGGCCTGGTCAAAGTCCCTTGGATCTCTTGGATCCCTGGTATTCCCTGGGCGATGTCGATGGCGAAGCGATGCATGGGGGAATATTCATGGGATAATAATTGGTATATATATATATGGGTATGGATCAATACCTATTAATACCATTTTTAAAGGAATGAACATCCATTTACCAGCTATTTTGAGGTGAACTACAGGGGTACAAGGTTTTGACACACTGCCATATATATATATATATCTTATTGATTGAGTATGTTTGAGAGAAGGACGCGCAAGAAACTGGCAACATGAATATCATTTCGTTGTTTTTTGTGGATCATTCACATCAAATCATAGATATGGTGGTTTCCATAAATGGAGCTACCCCCAAAATGGATGGTTTATAATGGGAAAGCCCACTAGAATGGATGTTCACCGGGGGTACCCCTATTTTAGGAAACCACCATATGTGTATATATAACCATAGTGGAATTAAATGGAATGAATATTATTGGATAATCATTGGGATATGCCAAGTGGATCTATAGTCCTGGTCATGGTGATACAATGGGATAAAACGGGTATATCAATAATGAATTGAATATAGTGTGAGTATCAATGGGACTATTAGTAATTAATATTAATGGGATGATACTATTGGATGATAATTGGTATATATATATTTACAACCATAGTTATAGGGGGCATATCTCAACTTGGGAGTATTAATGGGATAGATATGAGTGGAATGATAATTGGGATACTGATTAAATGGGATGATATTATTATTGGAGAATAATTGGGAGATAACCTCTGGTGTCATCAAGCGTGGCGGGCGCTGGAAAATCCCCGCGGCCTAAACAAAGGTTTACAGATGGGAAAATCATCGAATGAAATGGGGGATCAAAATGACAAGTTTGATTCCCGGAGGGTATCCCATTTTCTTGGGCATTCCAAAAACCATCATACCCTCTGGTAAACTAACAGTTTGCGAACTGGAAAATCACTATTTTTAATGGGTAAATCCACTATTTCTATGGCCATTTTCAATAGCTATGTTAGTTTACCAGAGGGTAATTGTGCTGCTTGGACTTAAACGTATTCAGCAGGTTTCAAACCTGGAGACATGAACAATAGATCCCAGCAACAATTGCCATTTGACCACTGAAATGTGAAAATGTAATGCCACCTGTGTTTTTTTTTCCATCTGTATGTTTATACACAGTTCACTATACATATGTATGATACGTATATGTGAAGAATTAAACACTGTATCTGTATATGCATGCGTACATACATACATACATACATACATACATACATACATACATACATACATACATACATACATACATACATACATACATACATACATAGACACTCATGCATACATACATACATGCATGCATGCATACATACATCCATCCATACATACATACATACATGCATACATACATACATACATCCATCCATACATACATACATACATACATACATACATACATATACATATATACATACATACATACATACATATATATATGCATACATAGATACATACATACATACATATATATATATATACATAGATACATAGATACATAGATACATAGATACATAGATACATAGATACATAGATACATAGATACATAGATACATAGATACATAGATACATAGATACATACATACATACATACATACATACATAGACACTCATGCATACATACATACATGCATGCATGCATACATACATCCATCCATACATACATACATACATGCATACATACATACATACATCCATCCATACATACATACATACATAGATACCTACATGCATACATGCATGCATGCATGCATGCATACATGTATCTATGCATGTATGCATAGATACATAGATACATAGATACATAGATACATAGATACATAGATAGATACATATATATATATACATGCATATATATATACATATTTATATATACGCATTAAAACCATAAGACTAAACATCATGATAAACGTAATACAAATGTTGACAATGATAATAAACTACACTAATGAGTACTAATGAGTGTTTAAAACACAGCACTCGTTTCTTAACACACAGCTCCTGAGGTTGGACCGTTTCCACCAACGTGCCTTGGCTGGATCTGTGGGTTGAATTTTGGTTTGATGATCCACTGGAATTCTTTTTCAAAGCTAAAATTTTCACATACATATAAGTTATATAACAAACTTTAACATACTTTAACCATTTTTAAGCGCACACTTTGTTGATTGGTGGCTTTGTTTTGGGGGCCCAATTTGGAACCCGATATTTTCGGGAATGTAACTAACCAATCATATATTTATGATATACCTAGTAATTAGGTTATAGCTCACAATATTTGGTGATCTCGAACTTGTGGTGGGTTACATATTTTCAACATTTCAGCATTCTTGTTTCACTGCTGTGGGAATATGCTCATGTATTACCTCAACTCTTGTTTCGTGTCGGCCTACTGTCATCTCATGTCTAGTCCCTCTCACAGAGGATCAAAGAACGAACTCACCGAACAATCTGGCTATTTTTGCAAGTGGTAGGTGGCAACTTTTCAGTGGGACGGGCGGCCCGGCGACACTGCACCTGGTGAAAACATCGGTTTCGGTTTTGCTGCGTAGAAGACTGGAGCTTGAAGTGCATAGGTCCTACCACAGACAAGAAACTTCCTGCGCTTTGGAAAGAACTTCCTGCGTAGGTCAGATGGAGTTGCCTCATTGGACCGCATAAATCAACAACTACAGCTTCGGATTGCTCAGCAAGAGGAACGCTGAACGCTGGCGCAATGGAAGTCTCGGCCGACAAAGTGGCGCACGGCGGCGTTTTTCCATGACCCACATGATGTAATCATATACATTTCTATGTCCAATGTTGGAACCACATTTGGGATCAGAACCAGGTGGGATGTTTTCGTGATGTTTCCAAACAAGCTGCGCTTTTTTTGTGGAAGAGCCGCGCACACTAGAAATTGACACCCTGGAACCCTGAAACCTTGGAACCCCGGAACCCTGGAACCCTGGAACCCTGGAACCCCGGAACCCTGGAACCCTGAAATCCTGGAACCTTGGAACCCTGCGACCGTGGAACCCTGAAACCTTGGAACCTTGGCACCCTGGAACCCTCAAGGATTCTGGAACCCTGCAACCTTGGAACCCTGGAACCTTGGAACCCTGCAACCCTGCACACCTGGCACCCTGCTGGGATCCTGGAACCCTGAAACCCTGGAACCCTTGGAACCCTTGGAACCCTGGAAACCTTGGAACCCTGAAACCGTGAACCCTGGTACCCTGGAACCCTGGAACCCTGAAACCTTGGAACCCCGGAACCCTGGAACCCTGGAACCCTGGAACCCCGGAACCCTGGAACCCTGAAACCCTGGAACCTTGGAACCCTGCGACCGTGGAACCCTGAAACCTTGGAACCTTGGCACCCAGGAACCCTCAAGGATTCTGGAACCCTGCTACCTTGGAACCCTGGAACCTTGGAACCCTGCAACCCTGCACACCTGGCACCCTGCTGGGATCCTGGAACCCTGAAACCCTGGAACCCTTGGAACCCTTGGAACCCTGGAAACCTTGGAACCCTGAAACCGTGGGACCCTGGTACCCTGGAACCTTGGAACCCTTGAAACCCTAAAACTTCCAAACCCTAAACTCTATGCGCGCTGCGCGCGCTGCATGCAATAAAGTAAACCCTAAAACTTCCAAACCCTAAACCCTAATGCGCGGTGCGCGCGCTGTGTCCCAGAGAAGTAAACCCTAAAATTTCCAAACCCTAAACCATCGTGTTATGCAACTTCCAAACCCTAAAGTTTAACCCGCGGTGTGCGCGCTGCATGCAATAAAATAAACCCTAAAACTTCCAAACCCTAAACCCTAATGCGTGCTGTGCGCGCTGCGTGCCAGAGATAAACCCTAAAACCTTCAAACCCTAAACACTAATGCGCGCTGCGCGCGCTTTGTGCAATAGAAATAAACCCTAAAATCTTCAAACCTGAAACTCTCGTGTCATAGAGGTAAACCCTAAAATTTCCAAACCCTAAACCCTAAACCCTAACGCGCGCTGCGCGCGCTGTGTGCCATAGAAGTACCCCTTAAAATCTCCAAACCCTAAACCATCGTGTCATGGAGGTTAACCCTAAAACTTCGAAACCCTAAAGTTCAACCCACGCTGTGCACGCTGCATGCAATAAAATAAACTATAAAACTTCCAAACCCTAAACCCTAATGCGCGCTGCGCGCACTGCGTGCCACACACATAAACCCTAAAACTTTCAAACTTTAAACCGTAACGCGTACTGCGCGCACAGCCTGCCATAGAGGTAAACGGTTAAACTTTCAAACGCTGCGTGCCATAGAGGCAAAGCCTAAAACTTTCAAACGCTAAACCGTAAAGCAGGCTGCGCGCGCTGCGTGCCATAGAGTGCTCCTCAAAAGTGATTACATGTCATACTTTAGTGGCATCCTCCAAATTCATTAGTCAGCCTTTGTTAATCCAGGGCCCATTTTACACATGTCATCTTCTTGGTCGTGGCGCCATTTCAGGATCACACTGATGACCTAAGCTTTGGCCTTAACTATTATGCAGGCAAGCGACATCAGCACGCTATGGTATTGGAAGACACAGGGTTTGCCCGTAGACCAGCCAAAAAATCGATTTTCCACACTGAACAATTGGATTTAACACATTTAGAATAGGAGCTCCGCCTGATTCAGATTTCATCACTTAAAAGGTACCCATGCCTGACTAGCCTTCATGACTTAAAGCGTAACCACACCCGACTTAAGGGAACCATGCCTGACTAGCCTTCATAATTAAGAGGTACCCACCCACGCCTGACTTAACAGAACCCATGCCTGACTAGCCTTCATAATTAAAAGGTACCCATGCCCCTGAATTCAGTGAACCATGCCTGACTAGCCTTCACAATTAAAAGGTACCCACTGGAACCATGCCTGACTAGCCTTAATGACTTAAAAGGTAACTACACCTGACTTAATACCTGATTTACTGGTTTTGCCTGATTTTGGAAAAACGCAGGGCCGGAATTTGCAGGCGCGGGCCGGAATTTGCCGGGCCCGGGCCGGAATTTGCCGGGCTGGGATTTTGGGGTCGTGCCTAAATAGGATTTTTGCAAAAATCGTGCATGACTGAAGGGAACCATGCCTGACTAAACATCATACCAATCATCCCAAAAGAATCCAATAATTCCAGCAAGTGATGCCTGACCAATCCGTGCGTCATAATAAACCGTCTGCCCCTCCCCACCCAATAATGAACACACGGAATAGTTTTTTGTATTTAGTGGGTATTTAGTATGAGGGTGCGAAACTTCCCCCTTGGTTAAAAAAACTAAATTGGAAAACATTTTTTAAATAACATCTAACTAAAATATTGCCAAAATTGGATTCCGAAGCTTCCCCCTGACATTAAATTGAAAACATTCGTTTTAAAAAATGAACTTTATATTTCAAAACCGATTGAATTCCTATTCAAAATCTAACTCAAATCTTGCCAAATTGGATTTCGAAGCTTCCCCTTATATTAAATTGAAAACCTTACTAATCCCCACCTCCTTTTACTAAACGTACCCTAAATACTAAAATATTACATTGATTCCTTTTACTAGGGTCCGCGTTAAATTTTGGGAAATTTCAGGCTGGCCAGTTTGACTTTTAATTGATACCTTTTCAAAAACAAATTAAACATGAAGGTCCCATTTCAGGATTTCACCACCAAAAAATAAAAACTAGTCAGCCCCGGTGATTTTTTGAACTAGGGTCTTTTAAGGTCGAAAAAATAAGTATTTTATATTACAACGTTTATATAATATTGGGGGAAAACTTCGAAATCCACTTTTTGGCATTTCCTGGCAATATTTTTGCTGGATGTCAAAAGGAAATCTAATCGATTCTTGAAATCGAAAAACATAGTTTTTTTATTAGTGTTTTTAATTTAATCTTAGGGGAAAACTTCGAAATCCAATTTTTAGCAATATCTTAATTATATGTTAAACAGAAAACTAATCGATTTTGAAACAGTTTTTTTTAAAAATATATTAGGGCTGGTAATTTAATATTAGAGGAAACATTTCGAAATCCGGTTTTTGTTTTTATTTTTGTTACTACAATTTAAAAGGAAATCGAATCGATTTCAAAAAAGAAAAAATAATATTTTATATTAGGGTTTTTTAATGTAATATTAGGGGAAAACTTCAAAATCCAATTTTTGACCATATTCTAATTAGATTTCAAAAGGAAATCTAATGAATTTTGATATAGAAAAAATAGTCTTTGATATGAGGGTTTAATATGAGGGGAAAGCTTCGAAATCCAATTTCTGGCAATATCTTAATTTGAATTTACAAGGAAATCTAATCGATTCTGAAATAGAACAAATTTAGTTTTTTATATTGGAATTTTTCATGCAAGATTAGGGGAAGCATCGAAATCCAATTTTTGAACATATTTTAATAATTGGATTTTAATTTGATATTAGGGGAAAGCTTCAAAATCAATTTTTTGTTTTTTTTCATTAGATTTCAAAAGGAAATCTAATCGATTTTGAAACAGGAAAAAAAACAAAATGATATTAGGGTTTAATATAAGGGAAAAGCTTCGACATCCAATTTTTTGGCCATATTTTATTTAATTTTTAAAAGGAAATCTAATCGATTTCGAAATAGAAAAACATACATAGTTTTTTATGTTGGGTATTTTTATTTGATATTAAGCTTCGGAATCCACTTGTTTGCCATATTTTAATTGGATTTAAAAAGAAAGAAATCTGATCGATTTTGAAATAGAAATATGTGTATATATATATATGTGTGTGTGTGTTTTTTTATCAGTATTAGGGGGAAGCTTCGTACCCTAATACTAAAGACCCCCCCAATACTAAAAACTCCTCCAGGTGTTTGTTATTTGGGTGGGTGGGTGAAGGGGCGACTGTTTAGCAACAGGGGGAAGGGATTAAACCGTTTTTTGTTTCTAATTTCAAAATCCATGAAAATAATCTTTAAATAGAATACTGCCAAGAATAGGATTTCGAAGCTTTCGCCTAGTATCAAATAAAACACCAACACCTGAATTAAAAAAACTAAAATTGACGATTTTAAAGGACGGACCCCAATAAAAGACACCCCGGTGTTGACTAGTTTTTTATTCTTTGGGGGTGAAACCCTCACATGGTACCTTCATTTTTAAAATTGTTTCCTCAAGGGGATCAATTAAAAATCAGATTAACCAATTTGACATTTCCCAAAATTGGAAATCGCACCTAGTTTTTGTCATTTGGGGGTATTTTTCGTAATAGGGAGAAAGGATTAGCAAAAAGAATGCCTGATCAAAATGATGCTGATTCTGTGTGTTACAATCTTTTTGCCCACTACAGTGTCTACAGGGTTACAAGGGATGCCGTGCCAGCTAGAGTCCCAAGTCCATTCAACCAACACCCTAATCGATGAAGTTGGACTTGTTGAAATGGAAGTGGGACTGGACCAGTTGACATGGGGCGATGCTGACCTTCAACGGGAGCTTCGGCGCCTGAAGGACAACAGTTTGAAAATCCGAACCTGAAATATATTTTCAAAATTGCCTTACTAAGAGTGATCCCCACCCTGACACACTATTCTGACATAGTTTCTGACATATCATCTGGACGTATATGTGGCATATATGTTCTGACATACTATCTTACATTCTTTTCTGAGATTCTATTTGACATTCTTTCTGGCATCCTATCTGGCATCTATTCTGACATACTTTCTGGAATATACTATATTCTGATCCTGCCTTGCCATGAGTTTGGGCTGGGAGTGCTTTTATTTGCGTGGATCAATGCCAATGGCTTGAATATCCACCAAATGTTGGTTTCACATGTTTGCACCCAATGATTGCCATTACCATTGATACCCCAAAATGGCCAGGTCCTGAATTTGAGAGTAGGTCCTGAAAAGTTTTCTGGGTACTGAAAAAACAGGACTTTGGCACAGGGTCTGAAAAAAGACGTAGGTGGAAGATTCAGGTATGCTGTTGGGTTGCAAAGCTGGGTTAATTGTAATAATGCAATGATGGTTGAATTTTCATGGTTGAATTCCCATTTTCCACCATTTTTCCTGCTTGAAACAGGTCGTCTTCCGCTTGGAGTATTTCGGATGGGGCCTGGCCAAGGTCGGAAGTCTATGGCTGGGAACATGGAAAAAGCACGGGGAAGTCCATGACAAATGGCAGTGTGTCAAAACCTTGTACCCCTGGTGAACATCAAAATAGCTGGTAAATGGATGTTCATCCCATTAAAAATGGTATTAATAGGTATTGATCCATACCCAAATAGAAGTTTATGGCTGGGAAGATCATCGAAGTCAATGATTTTTCTTTTCCAGCAAGCCATGTTTGATTAACGGAGGGTAGAACTGGAGTGGTTCACCCCAGGTCTAGGTTAAGTAGGCTTAGTGCTTAGTCCAGTTATAACTGGGGCGATCTTGTCCAGTTGGAACTGGAACTAAAAATCATGCTAGCTACCCTCAGCTAATCCAACATAGCTATGGAAAATGGTCCATGGATTGATGATTTACCGGTAATGTTAATGGTGACTGTTCATGGCTATGTTGAATTTACCATAGGGTAATCATGATTTTCCACATTATTTAATGGCCAAAAAAAATCGGGTTTCACTGTATGACTCAGTGGACACATGCTTCGGTCCCCAATGATTTCCAAGCTCGCGTTATTTTGTTTGCATGCTTCTTTGGCGATCATCCTTTTGTTTTGTGATCATCCCGGCTTTGCCGTCTTTGCTTTTTTTTTTTACCGAATGGTACATCCTTCACCTTTGTTGCACATAATCATTCCCTTCTTTTGAAGGTTATAGCTTTAGTTGTTGTTCTTCTTCTTCTTCTCGTTCTTGCTGTGGTTGTCCTATGAGTAGTGCTCACTAGATCTTATTTCGTGATTCACACTAAAAAAATGCAAGGAGAAGACCGCCCTTTTTTCTCTGGGACGTCCTAGTCACCTGGGTTAACCTACAAGAGTTTTCGAGTGAATAAAAGACTGACCTCAAATTTCTCAGTTTACGAGCTACATGTATATTACTAATGATATGTGATTCTAAGATGAATGTCTATATACCAACATACATACCTACATATCTACATACCACACCATATATATATATTATATTATATACATAATTACGTACATATGTATATTCCAATGACACACACATATATATATATATATGTATATATATATATATAAATGATATATGATTTGAAGTGAATAATAGAATTGATGATATTGATAAATATTATATATATATATTGATGATTATCAATAGAACATACATAGAATATTAATTAATGATTAATACTAAATTGTTGATAATCATCAATATATCATATATCATTCTATTGATAATCATCATTCTCATCAATATATCAATGTGAGTATTAATGATATTAATGATTAATGACATTGATTAATATACACTACATTAATATCATTATAGAATATTGATGATAATATTAAATGATTGATAATCAGTATTGTAATATTATTAATTTCTGATTACACTAATATCATTAATATCATTAATATTACCAACATTAATGATATTGATGATGTAATATTAATTATTGATGATGTCATAACATAATAGATTATAGCATTAACCCGAGTGGATATTTATAATTTATAACAGATTATATATAATCATTCATATGATATCATAACAGATTATATTAATAATCATTATTATATCAATGGTATGAATGATCAATATTACCATCTGGTTATTTGACATAGCCATGGTATAGATGGTATAGATCCGCATAGAAATAGATGGTTTACCTAGTAAAAATGGTGATTTTCCATGGCGAACTGTTAGTCATAACCAGATGGCAACACGACATCAAGTGGCCAGGACGACTTGATCCGAATCGTCCCGGCCGCCTCGGCGTGTTCGGACGTGAACGGCAACCCGCGCGCGGCCTGGGGCGTCCAGGCCCCGGGGTTGGTCGGTGGGGCGGTGAAACATGGGGGATTTCAGTCAGTCGACTGGCGGAAAAACTCGTGTGAATTTCTGATGGAAAAAGTAAGAAAAACTTGGTGGTGTTGAACTTGTGAAAAATTGGGACTTCAACTGCTGGTTGGTGGTTTGGAACATTTTTTATTTTTCCACATATTGGGAATAATCCTCCCAACTGACCATATTTTTCAGAGGGGTTCAAACCACCAACCAGACTGTGTATTTGATGGCTATTGGCTATTTGATCATTGATCATGTGGATTTGAGCAAGAATTGAGGGTGAGACTTTCAGCATTTGGGGATCAGACATGATCAAACATGAGAATTTTTGACCACCAACATTTGACCAATATTGAAAACAAGTACAGAAAATTGTGATTCCACCAACATTTGACCAATATTGAAAACAAGTACAGAAAATTGTGATTTTTAGATTTCATCATTTTCCCTTCAAGACATTTCAAGACAAAACCAGAGTTTACCTACTTAACGGGGATGGCACATGCTCGGCGCCGCACCAGAGATGGGGCTTGTGGCTATCCCCAAACGAAACCATGCGAAAGCATTGGGAAATCATTCGACTAACAATCCAGAATATATATGTCATGTTATATTGCCTCTCTCTCTTTCTCTCTCTCTCTCTATATATATATATTATATATTATATATATGATATATATATACACACCAGTTATATCAGTTATATCAGCTATATACCAGCTATATAAGTTCTCCCATCCCCGTGAAGTCGCCCAGGTCACGAACATCAAAGTTGGCTGTCCCCATCCGTGCTCGGAGGCGCCAGGGCGGGATAGTTTTCTCCGTTTCTTAGCGAAAAATGGAGTTTTTTTCCATGGGAAAATCATCTGCCAATCTATGGTAACTAATGATTTACCCTCTGGTAAACATACAAAAACTGTGGAAAATCACCATTTTTAATAGAGAAATCAACTATAAATGGGCCATTTTCACTAATGATTAGATAATGGTACCGAAGCCTGTTCTCCGCCTGGAATCATGGTTAAGAGGATTCATCCCAAAATAGCTGAAGAATTTGGTTAGTGAATCATTAGAATTTGCCCAGACCAATGGGAGATCTTTCTATTGTCATGTTTCACGGGAGGGTACCTGATACGAAATCTAGAGATTCGGAGGGAAAAAAAACATTGACTTTGATGGAGGAGAAAGAACATGGTGGGGATATTCCAGTCTGTCAAGTTTGTTTCACTGGAGATCAACATCTGAGACTTTGAAGTTCGATCGGTTTTTGCACAGGATGTCCGGGTGCATGCGCCCAAGAAACTTTGGCTCTTCCATGCACACACACACATTTATCCATCGTCTTGATGTTATTCGGAAAGCTGTAGATATGTTTTTTGATGTACAGGTGATATGTCCCATAACATACTGGTCAGGGGTTTCAAACATACCTTTATAATCCTCTATATGATGTGTATATATATATATATACAAATACACATTTACTGATATACATACACATACATCCACATCTAGACAGACGGAACAAGCCTACCATTTTCTTCTCAACATGCTTATGAATGTTACCATATGTACAGAATAGGTTAAATCGAGAAGCGTGCCATTAATAAAACATTTTTTATACACTTATACCACATCAAAAACGATATAAACATGACTTGAATATTGTGCAATTTATATAGTATGCTTGGTGTACATCCTTGGTTAAATCCCATTAACATACAATTTCTGATGGTTAGAATCCCATTAAGATCCCATTTTTCAGATTACAATCCCAAATAGTAGGGTATATATCCCCAACCATTACCACATTATATACACATACACATACACATTACATGACATGACATCCGATTCCATTACATATATGGAGGTTTCCTGGGTCACGGGGCTACCCCATTTTTATCATCCAGCTCTAGATCGGATTTTCCATGAAATAAACCATCCATTTTGTGAATCCCCCATGACTTAGGAAACCTCCATATATCTATTGTAATATTGGTATTGCGATCACCTAATATGATTTTCCCAGCTAGAAACCTCCATTTAGTTCGGGGATTTTCCCATTAAATAACCAGAGGCTATGATAACCCGTCACCACTTCCGTACCAGGTGGGTGAGGTCAACGACGTCTTGAACGGCGACATCTCCGTGCGCATGAGGGGGAGGGGTGTATAGAGATGTATCTGGGAACATGGGTATACAGATAATTTGACCATCTTAAATATGGATATTATATATATATATATAGACATAGCCAACAATATGATATATATATATATGACATGGGAATATACATATATATATAATCTGATGTATCTGTATATATATATATATATACAGCCAACAATATGATATGATATTCCAACATACGTTTTTTTTGCTACAAAGAATCGTGGGGATGACTTAGGTGTAACAGGTTGAACCAGCAAGGACATTGGATTTACCTGAATAAACATGGCAATTCAATGATCAACAACTCGGGATTCAACCGTTAAACATTGAACCCGCCTCAGAAATAGGGGAGCAACGGCAACAAGCGCGGGTATAAGTACTCTCTCTGCGTCTACACTGCATATATGTATACACAATCATAGAGATTCATACACACACACACAAATTAGATTAAATGTGTATCTGCATGTAAAAACCACACAAACACACACATACATATGATTTTCTGTACATACCCTACATCTACATATGTACATATACACACTTTTATATCTATACACGCAAAGTTGGATCTGCAAGTGTTGCTTCGCTCAGAGATTCCCCCCGACATGGCTGGATTTTCCAGAAATTTCAGCAGGATTTACATCCAGAACTACAGGGAATTCAAGGTTTTGATCCATAGCCATAGCCATACCGGGTTAACCATGTCTTAGACGCAGGCTATATGTAATACGTAAATATGTTCGTACATATGGGATACATGCAATACACATACGATGTACATATGATATAAACACACACACACATATATATATAATTATATATATACATATATATATGTACATATTTACACATAGGCATACAATTTCACACACATGACACACACACACATTTACTACATACACATATATGTATACACATGTACATGGAGGTTTGACCTTCAGCTTTAAAAAATCCCCAGGCGTTCTCCCCTTCCCTTGGTGCAAGAGGTGGGTGTCTTGTCCTCCGATACCTACATGTGCGACAACCAGAACAGCGATTGCCGCACCAACGACATCAAGGCTGGCGCTCCGTGGAAATGGCTGACAGGAATCATAGCAGATGAAACAGGAAGTGTATATACCATCTGGTTATGACTAACAGTTCGCCATGGAAAGATCCACCATTTTTAAGTTCGGTAAACCATCTATTTCTATGGGCCATCTATACCATGGCTATGTTAAATAACCAGATGGTAATGATAATTGTTAGTGGAATCATTCTTACTGGGGGGTTCTATTTGGCTACTCTATGATTTCCAACTATTTGGTCCCTGTACCATAACATGGGGGTCAAGACTACTTAGCTCCAAAATTAGGTTCATTCCCTGCAGGTCTTGCCATATGGGGATAGGCATCACTTGATACCTTGATAGGTGGGGATGATGACTGTTGGGTAAGTCCTTAGTAAGGCACCCACTGGCACCACTGGCAGATGCTCAGCTCTTGAGATGATCGAAGCTTCGGATGCCTTTCACCCTAGATTTTTGCGAGAACATCTTAGAATTGCCCTGGCAACTAAATGGTTGCAGTACATGTACATGTATATATATATATAAATATGTACATGTATATATATATATAAATGTACATGTATGTATATATATATATAAATATGTACATGTATATATATATAAATATGTACATGTATATATATATGTAAATATGTACATGTATATGTATATTCAGAAAAATATAATGTATGAACATATACGACCTTTTAACAAACAAATATATTTCACATCGTTATGTACATATATATAGATATATGAATACATGTGTATATATATATATATACAGACATACATATGGCCACCTTCTACGAGCCTCTCGCAGCTCGTTCGAGGCAGCGACGGTGCTGGACGAAAACACCATGGAGTTGGAGTTCGAGGTCAAACTATTGCAGGGGATAGTAATCTGGTTGGTGGTTTGGAACATGAATTTATTTTTCCATAGATTGGGAATAATCCTCCCAACTGACTTTCATATTTTTCAGAGGGGTAGGTATACCACCAAACAGTGATCATTGTAAGCACCCCGAGCAAACCGTTGATTCAACATTTGAAACCTCTATGAGATTTCCGAGTTTTTTCCGAAAATCAACTCAACTTGGGGGATCCATTTTTTTGGAACTTTCCAAGGGAAGTTTTTTTTTCTGGTTCCCATGGTTCCCTCGCATTGTCATGGGGCGATGTTTGGTGAAACCATGCTGATGAGCTCCATGGGTAGTGATTCTGGTGATGGTTTGTTGCGTGCAGTCTCAATTTTCGGAACATACATACATACATACATACATACATACATACATACATACATACATACATACATACATACATACATACATACATATATATATATATGTATGTATATGTATGTATATATATATATTCTGCAGATGTTTTTTTTAGGGGATTTCCCATGCCAGGTTAGACTAGCAGAATGAAGCTTTGTTTTCCCATAGTGAAGATTCCATAAACCAATCATAATGGTTGAACCTATGGAAACCATCATGATTTCTCATCCAAGCAAAACCCTATAGCCATGTTATTTTTGGGTTGTAGCCATGAGCCCACTGAAGCTCTGTGAAAACCGTTGGTTCCAACTTTCAGCCAGTTTTTTTTCAAACGTCACTTCATAACAACGACCACCCACACCAAGACCTGTTGATCGCAGTTGAGAAAGCCTGAGCTTCTGGTCAAAAGAAGGGGTAGAAATGCTCTATAGCATGACTGCCGCATTATCAAGTGCTTGAGGCAAAGTGTGCACGAGTGTCACAAGTGAGAAGAGTGTCTGGAGCAGGATCTTGAATCAACATACCTGCAGCATCCCCCAAAGTAATGCAAGAGAGGCTTAAGATAAGACAAAAAAAGGTCAAGCACAGAAGTGGATGGGCATACCAATAGGTTTGGTGTGGCCCCTTTGGATGGGTTTAACATAGGCCCTTTGGTATGTCAGTATGGCAAAAAAGCTCTACTTTCTGTGTTTCGCCTTGTGTTTTTTCATGGCCATGTAGCCGCAAATTGCCAATCTTGAACCTATGCTGTGTCTATGTTGAATCTGTGTTGTCATGGGCATGTTGCGCTTCCCCCATTGGGCTGCTCATTGGCCTATTTCTACCAAATAGCTTGACCAGTCCAGAGGATGATCACCTTGCCGCCCTTGCCCCATCGGCAACGGCGTGTTGTTGCTGAACTTCCATGTTTGTCAATCCCTATTCCCTATCTTTATGACCCCATGGTTGGCTTCGCTATGTTTGTTGCTTCACTTCCCTTTGACCTGTAGGTCGCAGATTCAAATCCACAGTCTTAAGTTTGAGTCTCTTTTGATGGTTCAAACCACACTTTTCTAAAAAATCACCATGTTGGTGATTTGCTAAGCTGGCCATTTCAGGCTGTTGTAGGTTGCCATATTTATCTACATGTGTATAATATATATATATATATATACCCTCTGGTTATTTAACATAGCCATGGAAAATCACCATTTTTAATAGGTAAACCAACTATAAATGGACCATTTTCCATGGCTATGTTAAATAACCAGAGGGTATATACAGGATGGGGTCGGTTCGTTTCGTTTCGTTTTCGTTTTCCAGGAACTGGATGTTTGGCGTTTCGTTTCGTGGGAGCCTACGGTTCGGTTCGTTTCGCAAAGATGATCGGTTCGTTTCGTTTCGTTTCGCACTTATTTAACATATTTTCCGTTTCGTTTCGTTTCGTTTCCGTTTCACAGACGGTTTGTGACTTCAGTGAGTTCGCTTGAGGAAAACAATGCTATATTTTGGAGAGCTTGCGGTTCAGGAGGATTGGAATTCCGGAGTTTGTAAGAGCAATGTCGAAAAAGCTGCCTAAACATCTTGCTCCTCCAGCGTTGGCGGCAAACCCCGTTGATGTTTTTGCTTTTTTGACGGCTCTAAAAAAGCAAATCCCCGTGTGGGCGGGTTTGCTTTTTTCAGGGCAGATTTGCTTTTTCCAGGGCGTGGAAAAAACAAACGGTATTCTCTGGGGGTGTGCAGTTTGCCAAGCTGCACATGAACCTTAAAATTGAAAGACCCGGGCATGGAAACAATTCCATGCCTTGATTAATCTTGATTTTGGAGCCTAAGCCAAAAATATCTAGACCGTTACTCTTTCCTGTCTCTCTCCTCTCTCCGTTTTCCCCTCTTTCTCTTCAGCAGCCAAAATGTTTTTTGCACATGCAAATGTGGCAAGGAACATCACCGGACGAACTCGGGCAAAGAAACCCGTGGAAGAGTGAATGGAAAATAGGCAGATGCCTGCGGTTCTCAACCGGTTTGCAATCGGTTCGTGTTTGCGGTTCGCACTCCAAACGGTTCGGTTTTCCACCGGTTCGGTTCGGTTCGTGAATATGAACGGTTCCGGTTCGGTTCCTATGTTTCCGGTTCGTTTCGCGGTTCGCGGTTCGGTTCCAGAACCACACTGTATATATATATATATATAAAATATATATATATATAGTGAAAACCCCACGGTTTCCCAGTGAATTTCCCATGTTTCCCAGCGGGGAAACATCGAAGCTTCGCCGGGCGGGCTCCCGACAAACTTCCGCCAGGCGTCGTCTGGCTTGACGGACGGCGACCTCATCACCTTAGGCAGATCTGGAGATCGGTTTATCATTATATATATATATTATATTATTGTTTATGATCATTATTGTTATTATTATTGTTATTGTTGTTATATGTCTTCAATGCTATTTGATTCCTTTTAGAGTTTTGAATGATACATGAAATATCATGACATATATCAACGCATTTGGAAAACAGCGACACCTGGAGACATTCCAGCTGAAAGATCACCATCAGAGATTCCCCAGGTCCCAGAAATGGTGGTTCATTGCAGTTCGGAGCTGGTAAGCTGGTAGGTTGTATCATGTATCCGGTAGCGTCATATTCCCAAGATGACTTGGGTTGGAGATAAAAAACTCCAGTTTTGAAATAGCAATTGGGGATGAGGGATGAATGACCCATAGGGACTGATAGTGAGGCGATATCCATGCCTACCAGTCGGCCCCTGGAGGTTCATTTGGTGAAATCTCGAGCCAAAACCTCCGCGAAAAACGGGGACGCAACGCCTGAGGGATTGTCAACAGATAAACCTCGAAAACATCGCATTTTCTTCACTGGGAGTTACAAACCACTGGATGCAATGGGCATTTTCCAACATTTTCAAACACACCCGGATGGTCTGAAGTGAAGGTATACTCCCTTGTTTGATGTCGGTCCGCCAACCCTCTCACCCAGCGTTTGCATGCCCCAAGAACCGTGTCCCAGCAACTCCCAACGCAGTTTGGAAACTTATTTCTAAGATTTCTGGAGATTTCTGCGTAAACGCCACCTGTTTCCATTTTTGATTTTTCCTTCTCACGAGTTTTTCCCTTCAAATTCGCGAAGCGAGTGCTCGTATTTAGACAGAGCTGCACCCTGCCACAGGTGCCAATTTTGCATGCGCTCCGGGGCAGTCCGTGATTGTCCCTCAGATGCAGCCGGGAAGTTGTTGGGGCCAGGCAATGGGTTCACAGGAATGATGAACTACTCATCACTGACCTATCCTGAGTTTGGATTGCCATGAGTTTAACTGTTAGAGGCCATGGTATCCGATGCATTTTCCCCTTAATATTGTATATACTGTATATATCTCTTATGTATTGGACATAAACGCACAATCTTTGGCCCTTTTACTATCATTTCCGTTGGTTGTGCGACTTTGTTTTGGGGCCCCAGTAGTTTTTTTTGGTAATCCAACAATGGAACCCTGCCACCAAGATCCGGTTCGGTGACCAGATCTGCCAGGTCTGCAATGATGAGCGTCTCTCTGTGCTTCGCGTATCTTGGAGCCAAGATACATCATATATTGGGCGAATAAGGGACCCCAATAATGAACAGATCCAATACTATATAAATCCGAACGATTCCAGACGTATTTTTGATCTGTGTTTTTTAAAAAGTGGGTATTCAATACCGAGTCCAGCAGGCTAGTGGGCCATGGACGAATAGGCTGATCAGCTATAGAGTAATGTGGGTAAAACAATGATGTAAATGTAATCCCCATTGACCAGCCGGTATATAGTGAAATGATGGGAAACGGCATACCAATTGCCGACCCTTCGGTTTTTTCCCCAAAAAAAGATAGCAGCGTCGGAGGAGCATGCGCATCTGCTGGTTGGTCGTTTCCGTTTTTTTTTTTGTATATATATATGTATACACATAACATATATATATATAAATAGATGTATACACATCAGTTTATGGACTTTCCATCTTGGGAAGCCACCAGCCACTCCACCACTTCTCCGGCAATGTTGGGAAATGTTGGGATGTGAATATCAGAGGCAGTTCTTACCATTTTTGTTGTTTGAAATCATTTTTTTTACATCAAGTTCTTCTATTGGAGCGCTTGAGTAGGACAGTCACAGCCAAGGAAATTCCAATCCAGAGCAAGGAGTTCAAAAAACACGATATTTTTCGTAGGATACTTTCGTAAAGAATCCGGGAGATTTACGGCTGGTTGGTGGTTTGTAACATGAATTTTATGACTTTCCTTTCAGTTGGGAATTTCATAATCCCAGCTGACCAAATCATATATTTTTCAGAGGAGTAGGTTGAAACCACCAACCAGATATATAATCATATATAATCCCATTAAACCACCATTAAACCACCATTAAACCACCATTAAATCACCATTGAAACCACCAGCCAGTCGGATATTTCATATTCCAGGATCTCCCATCGCCATCCTCAGGAGACCAGAATCCCCCCAGCTGGCCTTCCAGAAACTGCATAGCATAGGAGCTGTCTTGTTGATGGAAAAAAACTCCGATTATCTCAGATATCCCAGAAAAGCCCCATGATTCTGGGATTTATTCGAAATTTCTTCTGGTAAAAGCACAAAAATTCAGGACATATCCCAATTGGTATATTCCCATCATTCCTTCGGTTAAACTCCCGGCTTTCTAGCTGAACTCCCCAGTTTCCGCCACCCAACTGCAACCCAGGGCCGCTACGATTTGGCGGATCGATTGGACAATCACAACTCGGCACCCAACGAATACATCTCAGGCAGGATTCGACGACTGGGTCCCGGGTCGGTCCCGGGTCGGATGGGTCGTCGAAATTGCCAACGGAAAGCCATAGAATCCACCAGCCAAAGAGCCATAGGATCCATGGTGCTGCTATATATGGTGTGCCATGGATCCCATCAATATACCCCCTTTATGTTACCATATATAGCAGCACCATGGATCCTATGGGAAAGCCAACAGCCAAGGAGACCGGTCACTTGGGATGGTCCAAACATGCTGAAAAGAAAGGACCAGACATTGGATGACATTGGGCCAAATCCCCCCAAAAAATGTGGGACACACCCATGATTTTTCATGGTCGTTTTCATCCATGTTCATCGATTTTCATTGGTGACTCCGGACCTTTTTTCCACTTAAAAAGGCTGGAAAACTTCCAGACATTCCCGTCCGAACTTTCTCGGTCCGCCAGGTCATGCGGTGACCGTGAATCCCAGCGACCCGCAGAAGGTGAAGCAACGGTGATTTCCTGCTGAAGCAACGGTCCAGGATATCAGGATGTACCGATTGAATCTCCATTGAATCTGAACATGGGATCTGTTTTTTTTGGATTTACCATGGTAAATCGATGAACATTTGCATGAATTTTTATGGGATATAATATTCACCAATGTTCATAATTCAAAATTATAATATTTACCATGGTAAATCGATGAACATTTGCGTTTTTTCCCCAACAGCGTAAGCTAATGGGGTCTTCAGCCCAGAATAGCTCCGGTGTGCATTGGTGCAGGCGCCGGGTCAGGTTCAACGAGGTTCCGGAGAAGGTTCCGAAGGTTCCGGTGAAGGTCTGGGAGGCTTTGGTGCAGAGCCAGGTCAGGTACAACAGGGTTCCGGAGAAGGTTCCGGAGAAGGTTCCGGAGAAGGTTCCGGAGAAGGTTCCGGAGAAGGTTCCGGAGAAGGTCTGAGAGGCTTTTGGTGCAGAGCCAGGTCAGGTTCAACAGGGGTCAACAGGGTTCCGGAGAAGGTTTGGGAGGCTTTGGTGTAGAGCCAGGTCAGGTTCAGCAGGTGTTTCCAGCGCTTGGCTTCGCATCACGCTTCAGAAAGATTTGTAAACATTAATCGTTGCGGCTGTTGGGGATACCACTGAAGCTTATTTCTTTTTTTTAAATGGGATCGAATATTAACAAATGTTCACATAATATTTACCATATTTACCTGGTATTTTTTCACCATAAATTCGATGTGTTCATGGGATTTCACCAAATGGTAATATAACCAATGAACAGTGGATATGGGTGTGTTGGGAAATGGGGTAGACTAGACCTCCTATAGGCATTTTATAGGGACAACCATGATTCACCATTGGATTAGGGGTACACTATTTTCAGACAAACCCATGATGCTTTCGAGATGGCGAAAATGATATTCCCTGATGGGCGAATTGTTGTGTGGTTTACAGTCTGGGATTTGCATCGGAATCGCAAGGGGTGAATAAAGCCATGATGAATTTCCCCAGGTTTTTTTTTTCAAGTTTTGTAGGAGATATCCCCAGCCACCTAGATATCGGTTCTTCTCCAGTTACCATATATATATATATATATATAATCCACAGTCATGCTCCAGGGATGCTTCATGCTAAGGGATGTTTGGGAAGTAGGCCCCAAAGACTAGAGACTGGAAGGATCTTTTAACCAATCTCAGCCCAAGATGTTTGGGAAGTAGGCCCCGCAAGAGTAGAGACTGGAAGGATCTTTAATTCAAATAAAGATCCAAAATCAGCCTAACAAATCTCAGCCCAAGATGTTTGGGAAGTAGGCCCCAAAAGAGTAGAGATTGAATGGAATCATCTTTCATTCAAATAAGGACCCCAATCACCCTAACCAATCTCAGACCAGCCCAAGTTCCGAGTGAAAAGGGACTGCCTCAGTGCCCAGTGCTGCCATGAATGGGGAACAGGAGAGAGAGGACGCACTTAGGTCAAGGCACATGAGAAACGACATTTTGGTTTGCGCAGTGTTGTTTTTTTTGAACCTTGTAGTGATCATACCAACCTCTTTCAAAGGGGTTTGCATGATGTTTGGATGATGTTTGGTGGTGTATGTCTTCAGCAAGATCGTTCTTTATGACAAGGTTCCAACAACAAGTATCAGGTGTCAAAGTCGCAACTATTTGATGGTTGCACCATGCGGCATTCATACCATTTACTTTTTAAGAGGGTGGCGAGAGGATGTGTGATTTTGATATGCTTAGGTGCTCAGGTGGATCTTCTTTGACCTCGGTCTGGACCATGCGCTGGGGGGAAAACCAAGTCCATCCACCGATGAACGCTGGTTCATGGTGTATAACGCTGGACAAGCGTTTGAGCCGCTGAACAAGCGGACGGATTGGAATTGGTTTTGCCATGGGCAAAGTGTTGAAAGAGACACAGAGTGTAGTTTTGGAAAACGCAACCTTCTGCACAAGAAGTCGCTGAACAAGCAATGGGGCGCTGAACAAGTGCCAGCGATTTCCAAAGCTACACCCCACTGAAATATGCGGGAAGTACGCTGCAACATGCGTAGCACAACATTCAGAGTAAACAGACCAGCTGCACCTGGTGTGTTTACACTGAATGTCCGTGGGGTCATGTGCAACATCCTCTCATAGCATAGCGTTCATTGGTCCCAAAAATATCGTGAATTATGAGCTAATTTCATCAAGTCTCCAATTTCTGAACCATTGTTCTTTAATGCTTGTTGGACCATACCATCATAGAATCATAGATATCATAGCAGTCATTGTCCTGAGTCATGAACACTTTCATTTTGGGGTTGTAAAATCGTGAGCTACTATGAGCATAGATCATAGCGCCCTGAGGCCTCATACTCGTCAAAAGCACGCATACCACAAATTGACAACTACGGTTTGCAACATTGTCGTTCCTGTTTTTTATCAACGACCATCAAGCATTGTCCATGATCATGACTGTTAATTTCCGATAGTTATTGCCAGTATTAAGGGTCATATAGTCAGTGTATATAAGTTTGGATGCCTACAATAAGTAAGATGTCTCATAAACCCTGGGTTACAAGTCAATGGGTTCAAGCTCACACAGTTAAAATCACCCATCACAATGGGCGATGGCAAGTGTCTGTTCCTGTGTGTAAACATGTGTAAACCACCACGGTCCCACAATACCCACAGCACATCTGCCAAAACCAACTGGCGCAATCATCTCATGAGTTATCCAACTCATAGGGGAAGTCTTAACATGTGGAAGTATGCAACATAAACTTCACCTGGCCCTTCCCCTAGGTGTGACTCAATGAAAGGGTTCCCAAAAATGCGCTGTACAAGCGCAATGCGCGCTGCACAAGCGCTATGCGCGCTGCACAAGCGCTGTTACTGGATTAAAACCTCTAACTTCGGATTCTGTCCAACATCAGCTTCGCTCTGAGGCTGCGGGGCTTCTGGTACTCCTTGTTGACCACTTGTTTCTTGGCACCGGATAGCAGGAGCATTCTCAAGGAGGTTAATTACTATGACTTGTGAGTATCCCTCCTCAAGGTGGCAAGTTTGACATGGCTTCAAACATGTTGGTTCAATGCACTCTGTGACCATTTTCAACCGCACTGTGCCAGCCATGTAGCCTTAGCCTTACGCCGTTGGAGCCATTGGCAAGGGCTGCGCAAGGGATTGCATTATTGGTAAAACCTCTTGAATGATATCCCTGATTTACTAGAATAGTATCTCTTGATAGCTAAAATATGTTGAATTGTCAATCTTCCTTACACACATTTCTTGCGCAGCCTTTGCCCAACCCCAACTTTACGCCAAGCTTTGCGTCGCCCTAAGCCAAACCTTGTAGCGCTTAGGCCCCTCATTTCATCTTTTTCTGCTTCTTTTCCTTTTTGTTATCCTGCACAGCGGTGCTTATTGTGGGCTTATCAGGCTTGCGGTGTAGAGTTGTCACATGTTTCTCATCCACGATGGAGTGTTCAGGCTGCCTTTATTTAGGTCCCCACCCCTTGACCGGCCTTGTCTTTGCCATCATCACCTTTCCTTTTCTTTTCCTTTTTCTTATCTGTTTTTCTCCTTGGAGATGTCCTTCTCGTGTGGCATAATCTAAAAAAATACTGAGAATCCCACTATGAATCTCGCCATAGCAAAGCTTTGAAAATCTCGCCATGGCGAGATTTTGGAAATCTCGCCAGTGCGAAGTTTTAGAAATCTCGCCATGGCGAGATTTTGGAAAATCTCGCCATGGCGAGATTTTTGGAAATGGCCCATGGAGAGGACCTCCGTGAGGAGCTAGCCATAGCCAAGGGTTCAAATCTCACCATGGCGAGATTTTGGAAAATCTCGCCATGGCGAGATTTTTGGAAAATGGCTCATGGAGAGGACCTCTGTGAGGAGCTAGCCATAGCCAAGGGTTCATGGCTAGAACTTCTGGCGAGCATCTTGAACAGGTCATGCAGTGCAGGTGGAAAAGATTGCCAAAATCAACATGTTGCAAAAAGCCATTCTATGGCTAGCACCTCTAGGAGGTCCTAGCCATAGGCCCTTCTTCAAGATGTTTGCCTGGAATAACATGTTTTTTTGACCTAGCCATGCGTTTTTCATGCTATGATAAGTTTAATATTGTCATGGCTAGGACCTCCTAGAGGTGCTAGCCATAGAATGGCTTTTTGCAACATGTTGATTTTGGCAATCTTTTCCACCTGCACTGCATGACCTGTTCAAGATGCTCGCCAGAAGTTCTAGCCATGAACCCTTGGCTATGGCTAGCTCCTCACAGAGGTCCTCTCCATGAGCCATTTCCAAAAATCTCGCCATGGCGAGATTTTCCAAAATCTCGCCATGGTGAGATTTGAACCCTTGGCTATGGCTAGCTCCTCACAGAGGTCCTCTCCATGGGCCATTTCCAAAAATCTCGCCATGGCGAGATTTTCCAAAATCTCGCCATGGCGAGATTTCTAAAACTTCGCACTGGCGAGATTTCCAAAATCTCGCCATGGCGAGATTTTCAAAGCTTTGCTATGGCGAGATTCATAGTGGGATTGTCAGTATTTTTTTAGATTATGCCACACGAGAAGGACATCTCCAAGGAGAAAAACAGATAAGAAAAAGGAAAAGAAAAGGAAAGGTGATGATGGCAAAGACAAGGCCGGTCAAGGGGTGGGGACCTAAATAAAGGCAGCCTGAACACTCCATCGTGGATGTGAAACATGTGACAACTCTACACCGCAAGCCTGATGAGCCCACAATAAGCACCGCTGTGCAGGATAACAAAAAGGAAAAGAAGCAGAAAAAGATGAAATGAGGGGCCTAAGCGCTACAAGGTTTGGCTTAGGGCGACGCAAAGCTTGGCGTAAAGTTGGGGTTGGGCAAAGGCTGCGCAAGAAATGTGTGTAAGGAAGATTGACAAATCAACATATTTTAGCTATCAACAGATACTATTCTAGTAAATCAGGGATATCATTCAAGAGGTTTTACCAATAATGCAATCCCTTGCGCAGCCCTTGCCAATGGCTCCAACGGCGTAAGGCTAAGGCTACATGGCTGGCACAGTGCGGTTGAAAATGGTCACAGAGTGCATTGAACCAACATGTTTGAAACCATGTCAAACTTGCCACCTTGAGGAGGGATACTCACAAGTCATAGTAATTAACCTCCTTGAGAATGCTCCTGCTATCCGGTGCCAAGAAACAAGTGGTCAACAAGGAGTACCAGAAGCCCCGCAGCCTCAGAGCGAAGCTGATGTTGGACAGAATCCGAAGTTAGAGGTTTTAATCCAGTAACAGCGCTTGTGCAGCGCGCATAGCGCTTGTGCAGCGCGCATTGCGCTTGTACAGCGCATTTTTGGGAACCCTTTCATTGAGTCACACCTAGGGGAAGGGCCAGGTGAAGTTTATGTTGCATACTTCCACATGTTAAGACTTCCCCTATGAGTTGGATAACTCATGAGATGATTGCGCCAGTTGGTTTTGGCAGATGTGCTGTGGGTATTGTGGGACCGTGGTGGTTTACACATGTTTACACACAGGAACAGACACTTGCCATCGCCCATTGTGATGGGTGATTTTAACTGTGTGAACTTGAACCCATTGACTTGTAACCCAGGGTTTATGAGACATCTTACTTATTGTAGGCATCCAAACTTATATACACTGACTATATGACCCTTAATACTGGCAATAACTATCGGAAATTAACAGTCATGATCATGGACAATGCTTGATGGTCGTTGATAAAAAACAGGAACGACAATGTTGCAAACCGTAGTTGTCAATTTGTGGTATGCGTGCTTTTGACGAGTATGAGGCCTCAGGGCGCTATGATCTATGCTCATAGTAGCTCATGATTTTACAACCCCAAAATTAAAGTGTTCATGACTCATGACAATGACTGCTATGATATCTATGATTCTATGATGGTATGGTCCAACAAGCATTAAAGAACAATGGTTCAGAAATTGGAGACTTGATGAAATTAGCTCATAATTCACGATATTTATGGGACCAATGAACGCTATGCTATGAGAGGATGTTGCACATGACTCCATGGACATTCAGTGAAAACACAGGTGCAGCTGCTCTGTTTACTCTGAATGTTGCGCTACGCATGTTGCAGCGTAGACTTCCCACATATTTCAGTGGGGTGTCGCTTTGGAAATCACTGGCACTTGTTCAGCGCCCCATCGCCCTTCTTGTGCAGAAGGTTGTGATTTCCAAAACTACACTCTGTGTCTCTTTCAACACTTTGACCATGGCAAAACCAATTCCAATCCGTCCGCTTGTTCAGCGGCTCAAACGCTTGTCCAGCGTTATACACCATGAACCAGAGTTCATTGGTGGATGGACTTGGTTTTCCCCCCAGCGCATGGCCCAGGCCGAGGTCAAAGAAGATCCACCTGAGCACCTAAGCATATCAAAATCACACATCCTCTCGCCACCCTCTTAAAAAGTAAATGGTATGAATGCCGCATGGTGCAACCATCAAATAGTTGCGACTTTGACACCTGATACTTGTTGTTGGAACCTTGTCATAAAGAACGATCTTGCTGAAGACATACACCACCAAACATCATGCAAACCCCTTTGAAAGAGGTTGGTATGATCACTACAAGGTTCAAAAAAAACAACACTGCGCAAACCAAAATGTCGTTTCTCATGTGCCTTGACCTAAGTGCGTCCTCTCTCTCCTGTTCCCCATGGAGGGCAGCACTGGGCACTGAGGCAGTCCCTTTTCACTCGGAACTTGGGCTGGTCTGAGATTGGTTAGGGTGATTGGGGTCCTTATTTGAATGAAAGATGATTCCATTCAATCTCTACTCTTTTGGGGCCTACTTCCCAAACATCTTGGGCTGAGATTGGTTAGGCTGATTTGGGCTCTTTATTTGTAATCCTGAATTAAAGATCCTTCCAGTCTCTACTCTTGTGGGGCCTACTTCCCAAACATCTTGAGCTGAGATTGGTTAAAAGATCCTTCCCGTCTCTAGTCTTTGGGGCCTATTTCCCAAACATCCCTTAGCATGAAGCATCCCTGGAGCATGACTGTGGATTATATATATACTGTATATATATATATATATATATATATACAGATATCCATTGATATCCATTGATGAACACTGCGGTAACCCATCGGTCGGAGGTGACGATCCGCGTGGGATGGCCGGACCCGAAGCCCCAGTCGGGATGCCAATCCACGGATTGTTCCACGGATTTTCATGAGTTTGTATGAATCAAGAAGGATTCATGGGGATACAGTGGGGATAACCAAAGAAAACATGGGGATGAAACATGAAACATATTACCAATTGGTAACATGGGGATACTATGGAGATAAAATAGGGGAACATGATGATCCGTACCCTCTGGTAACCCAAGAATTTGCACAGCTACTTGAATGTTCGATTTCCAGAGGGCATAGACAATTCAGGCACGGTTTGAATGGGGATATCAACAATCATGATTGATACAAGTTTCGAGCGGGATTTCTCACGAATTCAACAATGGGTGCGTCAAGCTAGGTGAATGGCAAGCCAGAAAAGTGAGAAAAGGATAGAAAAGGTAATACCTATATATCTGAACATGAACCTATTCTTGCTGGATATCAAAGGCTAGCGGCTAGCAGTAGAACTGCCAACCTCAGTTTAGTGTCCGAGTAAGGGACACGAGCGGACCAAAAAAGTCAGATTTCATTCATGTAGCTTCGCAAAAATAAGATGTCATGTTGCCATAGACTATCTTGTGGCAAACTGATATTTGTCCTACTGCCTAGTGTCCATCAATTTCCAAGTGTTTTTTCCATGCACCGAAGATATAGATCATTACCTCATTACCCTCCGGTAAACGTTTACAAAAAACTATTGAAAACATCCACCACATTTCAAGTTCGGGTTTTTAAACCAACTATTCCTATATGGTTCCTATGGCATCCATGGCTTGAAGTTCCCATGATATTCCCATTGGCTCAAGCGCTCAAGGGGATACCGTGGGATGCCCAGTGATAAAAAATGAGGAATGCACCTCCCTATCAATGATCAAAAATCTCTATCAATGATCAATAAATTATGATTATCAATTGGATCAAGATTTATCCACCCATGAAAACTAGTTCGTTATATCTACCATAAACCATAGTGAAATGGGAGTTATTTGCACCAACTTAGTTAACGAACTGGGGCACCACCTTGCTCTATCCGTATCCAGCTATGGGATCTCAGGAGGACTGATGGCTTTGTGTGTCGATCGCGATGAGCATGGCCAGAGAGCCAATTCTCGATGAATTACCCGGCCTGGTTATGTCAAGCCATAGCTATTGAAAATGGCCATTGAAATAGTGAGTTTTCCCATGAAAAATGGTGGATCTTTCCATAGTTATGTTAGTTTACCAGAGGGTACCCCTTACTGTGGCAATCCTGCTAAAGCTTCAATGAGGGTTTATGCCAACCATATATGGTGAAACTTGGTGACATTGGGGATGGTTTATTAATGTTTATTATTGGGGTTACCACAACCTCCCACCTGCTTCTCTGGCATGGCCAGTTAAGATTGCCAGAGGGTACTGGAAATCAGTTGCCTAAGGTCTTACTCGAGCACTTGAGTTGGCTGCATTGGGTTTTGCAGCTGTTTTCGGGGCCAAAAAAAACGCCCTGCTAACAGTTGATACAGTGAAGGTGAATTAGGAACCCCGCTTCTCCGAAAGTGAGCAAGAACCAACAACGAAGATTCTTGGTGAGTCCGTACCAGCACCAGTAGTTGGATAAACCTCATGTTTTCCCAGGTTTCTAACATACCGACATACCCCCAGATAGTCTACCCTTGTTTTTCTTTCGCAGGTCAACATCCCCTGTTTTGTTGGCATCACCAAGCACAAGCGATATGGGGGGCACAGCTTATCAAAAAACAAGCGGTTCCGTTCATGACTAAGGCTTTTTAAGGGTAATTCGTCATGGCCTGGTACGCTAAGATCATGGCAAGCTCCACCACATATACAATATATATACACACCATATTGAAAGTCAAATCCTACTATAAGAACCAGCGTTGGGTCATATATAGCTCTGTTATATCATATTGGTTAGGTATATTAACTATTGGAGTTAGTTACTTGTAATCTATTACTTTCTATTGACTATCATCTATAGTATTGTTACTACTAGTTAGTGTAGCTAGTTTGTATTAGCTAGTATTGCTATCAGTTAATTAGCTCTTTCACATAAACTATTGGGTACTAAAATTTTCAACTCATAGTAATTACGCTAAGCAAATATGAGTTCATTCAGCTAAAATATTATATAGTTTGTATTACACATTAGTTAGTGTATTAGTAAGTACCCAGATCGGAGGTTCATGTAGTGATATCATTCAATATTGGTTGATATTTGTTAATAGTAATCAATATCAGTGGATATCATATATTATCATATTAGTTTATAATAATTGATATTCGTTCGCATAACAACTAACAATAACAAAGTGTAAATAAGTTGATACACTTATTGTGAGTTCTAATCTAAAGTAATCATCATTAATGATTAATCAATCATTAGTCATTATTACATCATTAATCATTATTAGCTACTATGATTGTTAGTTAAATACTCACTAAAACTCACTATCAACCTCAATTTTAGTTACCCAGAAAAATCACTAACATCAACCTCAAGTTTAGTTAAATACCCACAAAAATCACTAAGATCAACCTCAGTTAGTAACCCCTCAATGGGAATTTTAATGCCTCCATTTTTCTTCAGGACCTGCGCGCGGCCGTGTGCTGCGGCTCGACGGAGGCGGTCCAAACGGCGCTGGCTGCAGGAAAAAGCGCTGGCGAAACGAAACCCCCACGTTGGACGTGATGAAAAGCCATTCAAAATGGTCATTTTTAATAGGTAAACCATCTATAAATGGGATATTAATGGGATTTAATGGCAAATTAATGGGATTTTATAGTGATTCAATGGGATATTAATGGGTTACCCTCTGGTTATGACTAACATAGCCATGGTATAGATGGCCCATTTATAGATGGTTTACCTATTAAAAATGGTGATTTTCCATGGCTATGTTAAATCACCAGAGGGTACATATTTTTTTTGGGGGGATATATGACATACCAGACTGTTTGGGATTATAATTATAATTATATATATATACATACATACATACATACATAGATATTTGGGATTATTTTATCCCAAAAATGAAAATGTGATGTGAACCATCAGAAATGGGATTTTGGATGGGATTAACATGTAGTTTAGCCGATTGAATCTGAAAATGGGATTTCGACCATCAGAAATGGGATTTGTTCATGGGATTTCACCAACCCAAATGGTGATTTAACAAACCAATGAATGGTGACCCAATGGGTCTGCCCGAAAATGAAAAGGGTACCTGGGTACCTTAAATGGCAATCAACACATGGGAGGGGTGATGATAATATTCTATCAAATTGGAGGATACACTACTTTCAGACAAACCCATATCCATCCAAAATGGGGAAACTATATCCCAAAATGACATATTGTTTCAGATTTTTGATCATCCAATACTAGATAATTCATCACCCAATCCAGTATGATAATTTGATCTATTGATCTATACTGTATTCAATCCCAAAGCTAGATATTTTTTTTATGGATTTAATGTTGCCAAACATTGTTTCTGGTGAGGTATCAATGTCAAATACCACAATCCCTTCCCCATACAATGTGGGTGTTGAATATTGGAGGGCTGCCACTAAATCATACTTAAACATGGCCCAGAAAAAATAAATTAATCATCTAATTATATGTTGAAATATATGATAGTGTGGAAATAGCATTGTATCATCCAATCATCCATGGTGTTTGCATGATCATCTAATTATGTGTTCATTTGAAAAATGATGGATGCGCCAAACTTGTTGTTTTTAAGGGGGCCACTGATGATCACCTCTGGATATAAGATGATGTACTGGATAAACCATGGTTGATGGTCACTGTATATGGGAATTTAACTATCAAAGCTGGGTCTTAACAGTTTCAGTCTACCAGAAATGTGGGGATATAACGGGCAAATGACGTTCTTGGCTATGCAACGGTGGGTTAGCTAGCTGGTTTATCAGGGGACGTACGCGGGATGCAGATCCACAAGTCCAACGGACTGCCCCATGTCCCAGCGAAATTCATGGAGCGTTGTGTATTTTTCGTGTTTTTCCAACGAGAGAAACGGATTTCATCAGTGAGTGGGATTGACTTTTCTACCCTCTGGTAATTTAACATAACTGATGGGAAAATCACCATTTTTAATGGGAAAACTCACTATAAATGGCCATTTTCAATAGCTATGTTGACATAACCAGGCCGGGTATCTTTTGAGGCTATGCTATGGATCGAAGGATGGGATTACTCAGATCACCAGGGCAGGGATTGATGCGTGCTATCGATGCTGTTTTCCAAAGCATCATCCTTGGGCAAATCATGATGCAACATGTGGGTGAATCATGATAAATCCATGGATTCTTGTTTGAATCTACCACGGATATTCATGGAGAATCCTGTAGGTAGGTGACATTTTTTCTAGCATTTTCCACCTTGAAGACTAGGAGCACGCGCTGACATCGGAAGCAACGGCTGGTGGCCGGTACACACAGCATCGTCCATGGGACATTTAGGCGCCGGGGATTTCGGGTTTTGCTGGACTTTTCAGCAGCGATCTTCACTGGCACACTTTCCTACTTTTGCTGTTGGGAATACCACCTGGGCTCACTTTATGAGCGGCCAGCAATTTGGGGAGTCCGAAATGGTGCCATGTTGGGAGAAGCCCATGATTTTAGTCCGGTCCGGGTTGGACGTATCCGAAACCACACACCTGCCCGAACATGAGATGAGCTTGCCTGAACATTCAGGTACTCTACTGACTCTACTGGTTCATTGCAATTGTTCCTATTAAGATGGTGATTTTATGGGATTATACCGCTTAAACAGACCCTGATCCTGCAGACAGGAGTGCTTCAGCTGCTTTTGGAGAAGAGAGCTGATCTTCATCAGCCCAGTACCAGGCCACCATTTTGCCATTTTTTCCCCCTGCAAAACCACCTACTGTGGTTTAGTTTTTTTTTTTCGTGCCCAATACTTTTTAATCTCTCAATATGTTCAATCTAGTTTTCAAACTTCACACTTTTCATGAGTCCAACATGTCCAAAAAAAGATGACATCTACCTCGCAGATCAACTGCAACATAATTTGAAGAGGCACAAACAGCCACACAAGCTCCCTTATTGACAACCACCCTGCGAAACTCTGGATTATAATGACGGCAATAATGATGATCACTATGACGCATTCGTACTACAGTATATAGTATTGTTATTTTCAGTACTGCTGCATTGCTGCATGGTGCAGTAATGTTACTACATGAACAACACTGACTTAATGATGATCAGTATGTCTATTATCACCATTTTTACTTTTTCTATCATTATTGGTTTTGCCATTGCTATGTCACATGTATGATAATATCACTACTGTTATTTTTTCAAAAATATTCTTTACTATTGTCGTTGTTACTGTTGCGTTTATCCGTTGGTCTCTCATAATCATTGGCCATAGCTATTCTCATTACAGAGGATGGGATTATTAGAACATACTCATAATTAACAATACTTAATACTTAACCATAAGAAATCAATCTTTGATCACCACTAAACAGACCTAACCACAATTGATCACATTTGACCATAATTTACAATTAACCTCTGGTATTTTTTCACAGTTTGTTGTGAAAAACTAATGTGAATGGGTCAATGGTCCGGAAATCATGGCTATCTAACAGAAATTACCCTGGGTTTTTCTCTAAAATAGAGGAAGATCCACCTGAAACCCATGGGTTTTCCACATCTTTTTGGATGTTTCCCGGGTTTCCCCGGGTTTCCCCTTGGCTCCGGTCCCCGGGGTCCCCCGGGTTTCCCCGGTTTTCCCAGGCTCCGTGCCTCGCCGCTGCACCTGGCGGCGAAGGAAGGCCATGCGGCGGTGGTGGATCTGCTGCTGGAGCAGCGGGCAGACGCTCAGAACGCCCGTTGGGGTCGGAAATCCAATGTGGATGTGGATTAATACCTATTAATAGCATTTTTAGTGGGATGAACATCCATAAATCCCAGCTATTTTGATGTGAACTACAGGGGTACAAGGTTGATTATGTCTCAGTTGTACTTAGCCTCTGGGAAACATACAAAAAACTATGGAAAGATCCACCATGCTATTAATGGGTAAACATACAAACAACTATGGTGTAACGAGCTATAGGATATTACCCTCTGGTTATGTCAAAATAGCTATTGAAAATGGCCATAGAAATAGTGGATTTTCCCATTAATAATGATGATTTTCCATAGTTATGTTAGTTTACCAGAGGGTAACCAAATACATGCTAGTATCAGAGATGCGGTCCATAGTATCTACAAAAAAAATACATCTTGGTTACTTATTCCAATTACTTTCTTGGGGTCAACCATTTTTACTATAACATGGGGCCACCCAGTCATAGGTGGATTATAAGTTATAAAGAATCCCATCAACTAGTTCATACAAGTTCGATCTACCATGAACCATAGAATTCACCCAGGCAAATCAAGCAACGTAGCTATCGGCAGGGGGCCCCAAATCTTGGAGGAGCATCCCAAAGATCATTTCTGGCGATCGTAACCCCCAGGCGTGGCGTGTCCCATCAATGGGCTGATCCACGCCATGGTCCCCATGGAAATTTCATTGAGTCACCATAGTTTGGATGGCCACCCTCTGGTAAACAAAAACAGTTTGCGAACTGGAAAATCACCATCTTGAAGTTCGGCAAGTCAACTATTTCTATGGGCCATTTTCAATAGCAAACTGTAACAAATGGCCAGCGGGTAAATCAACTGATTATAGGTAAACATTACCAGAGGTTATAAAATCAGTTTATAGAAACATAGGTGTTTTGGATGGTTAACCATTCAACATGGTGATTTTCAACATAGTAATCCTTTCTGGGAGTTGTTACCCATTCAACATGGTGATTTTCCTTAGTTTTTTGCATGTTTACCAGAGGGTAAACCATATGTCCCCATATTATACCATTTCCATCCATTTCCACTATTTTCCCAAATCAAAAATGTATATATCTATATATACACCATATATATTACTCACCAGCAAATATCAACGATATCCACAACATGTTACCAGCCATTTACCAGCCATTTCCCCATATTATACCATATATTACACCATATGGGGATGGGTCAAAACCCTGGTACCGTGCCGTGAACCCCAAGTCATAGCAGGGTTAAAATGGATGTTCATCCCACTAAAATATGGTATCTATAGGTATTGACCCATACCCATCTTGCGGATTGAAACCAAAAATGTATATATATATATATACACACCATATATTACACATTATTACACCATATATGGCCATATATTCACCAGAGGGTAACCCCCCATGAAATTCCCATGGCCGTCGTGGCTCCTTCGTTGAGGAGATCGACGCTAGGGATCTCCACCGGCGAAGTCCTGTGAGTTGGGCGTGCCAGAAAGGACACCTGGAGGTGGGTGGGATGGGCTGAGGAATGGCTAGGGGAGATGTATATATACTGTATATATATATATTAATATATGTATTAATATATATATATATGTATATGTATTAATATATATATATATGTATATATATATTTGAAAACATCTATGCATACAATATGCAGACAATTATAGCATCTATGGTATCTCTATGATATATATATATATAGAATTATAAGGAGATATATGTACATATATACTCATAATGCTTATAGATAGATGCACATATATATATAATATGTATACACACTACATATATATATATATACACATTTATACACATGCAAATGTACAACATACACATATACAACCTCCAGAACACTAAATATAAACATACATGTAAATAAATAGATAAATAAATAAATAAATATATATATATATACATGTATAATCATCCTGAAGTAGATAGAATCTTTGATTCTCAAAACGCATTCCTGTTTTTTCAACAGGAGGGATGGTTGAAGCCCTTCCCCTGGCCTTCCGCGTGAATCGTTCACGTCGTGCAAGGTGGGGACCCCTAGATAGCAAAGTTGGTTTGTAACTTAAGGTTAACCAAGGTTGATAGGGGATATACCATGATATATCATGATATAACTACAGTTACTTGATGGGTACTGGTGGTTATAAACATTACCCTCTGGTAATTTAACATAACTATGGAAAATCACCATTTTTAATGGGAAAATCCACTATAAATGGCCATGTTCAATAGCTATGTTAGTTTACCAGAGGGTATAAACCAAGCAACCAAACTCGGCCCCTCGTAGGTGGTTCAGCTCCTGCTGACGCTGCGCTGCGATGTGACGCTGGCCGATGAGGCGAACGCCACGCCCTTCGACTGGGCCGTGCAAGGTGAGACTACCGATATTCAGCTGGGATTTAATGGGATTTAATAGGGATTTATATATAACCATTATAAATGGTATATCATGACTGGTTGGTGATTTGGAAACTTTATATATATATATTTTCCATTTCATATATGGGTTGTCATCCTTCCCACTGACTTTCACTCACATTCTTCAAGATGGCTATTGTACCACCAAGCAGTAGAAATTCAGATAGTCTAGAACTTCTAGAAGTGTTGACAGGTGACCGAGTTCTTAGGGCGCCAACTGGGCCTAGGGTGAGCACATCACAGGGCTTTCACGGACGGCTGGGTCCCAAATATGTATTTTTATCCCAATAAAATACAATGACATTTATGGGGAGTGTTTAGAACATGAATGGAGGGTTTGGACGATGGTTACCCACTTGGAAGATCTTTGTTTCGCATTGAAAAGCAAAAAACATTTCTCGGATTTCGAGGCTGTAAATTTGAGGGACACATCAATTCCACGGCCTTGGGTACAATGTGAGGCCCCCAAGATAGCTAAGTTGGTTTATAACTCCAATAACTATGGTTTATGGTACTTACAACTATAGTTACTGGGGCTTATAAACCAACTTATAACTGGGGTGTGCCCCACGGAACTGACCATTAAACATCATCAGTTCTTACGGCAGGCTTGAGCTATTTGGGCGACAAGTATCCGAGCCTTGGCCTGTCGGGCCTGTCGGACGTGTCCCCGGGTCGCCCAAAATGGGTGGCTTGTTTCACCAGACGGGAAGGGTCTGCCCCAGTTCTAAGTTGCTTTATGACCCCATCGAAGTCTATAGATATATCCATTATAAACTTTATTCTAAACGGCAGTTAACCTACTTATAAACCAACTTATTTACCTATGTAGAATGCCCCTTCCTGCGGGAAAGTGCCGCGAGGCACATGATTCACGTGCAAGTGGGCTTGGAAGTTCATAGGTCCAGTAAGCAAACAAAAAGGTTCAGTAGGTTGGTTTTATCCATCCAATTTTCGCGGGGTTCGCTTCGGGAGTGGCAGGAGTGTTTGGGGGGGGGGGAGTCAGGGATTCTATGGAGGTCGAAAGAAGTGATGGGCAAGGAGGGATTGGTGTCCGTTGGTGTGTTTGTTTGGTCAATAATCTATCCCCCATGCACCCACCCAACGCCCTCAATGGCTGCTATGAGTGTCTAAGCAGTACAGAGAGCATCGGCCCTACAGAGGGACGCAGCTTCATCCTCTGACGATAAAATTAGATAGCCTCTATGTACCTCGGAGGAGAATGACAGAAAACTGATCTCAGCATACTCTGCAGCATTAGCTTGCACTAGTCTGCAAAAAGTTTGGGCAATTTAGAGGGAGCCCAGACGAGGTACGAGGTTGACTTAGCAAATTAACAAGGCGATTTAACTAAGATTCAACAGTCTATTCGTTGGTGTCAATCTGAGTCTGAGTTACGTCTTGTCGAAGATCAGACCAAACAGGCCAATCTCGCTAATTGGAAACATTGCATGCATGCCTCAAACAGCCACGTGTCCAAATGGCTGCGCAGCAAAGCTTGGTCCTGCCCTGTGTTGGTGATTGACCGGAACGGTAATGTCTCCGAGACCTGGCTGCTGGACTGAGTTTTGGGAAGCCCTTCAAAATAACATTCCGAGTTTTGATCATAGGAAGGAGACCTTACTTGCGGGTATTCAGAGTCCGCAAAGCATGGTTCAGATTAGTTTTCCGACGAGGGCGTTCGGATGATGGCCCGAGCACAAGACTCCTCAGGGTCCGCGGGACCAGATGCGCTCCTTCCAGATAGGCCGCTTCCGAAGTGAAACACTTGACACTTTGGCTGACCTTTTCCAGATATTCGCGCAGGCTTCACCGACTCAGCTACATCAGTCACGCATGTGTTAACCAAATTTAGCCATGAAGGCTTCTGAGTGGAGGTCCTGGATGTTCCAGACACGGCTTGAGTCTGGTCGTCACAAGCTCAAGTATATCGTCCTCCTTTCTGACAGGAGTTCTTTCGTCGTATCGCTTTCGAGGATATTCGCACCTGGCTGCTGTCAGCTGCCCCTGCTGCTACAGTTGCCGTATTGAGCTGTTGTCCCTTCCTCTGATAAGCCTTCAGCGTGCCATCGGGGTTGCAGGACTGTGGTTGCTGGTCTCATCTCTGCTCGTCTCCTTCGTCCAAATCACGCTCCCCCGCGTCCGTCGTGTCCTCTCTTAGCGCTTGGGCTGGTCCTCTGTGTCCACGCTGTCAGATCCCGTCGTGCTCTCGTGCGTGCGTGCGTGGTTGACCAAGTGCCAAAACTTGCTCTGGCAGACTAAGGGTTCTGAGGTGCCCACTTAAAGTCTGTGGTACCCACTGGTGTTTTCGAGAGGGTCATAGTTTCGAAAACGGGTGCAAGAGTCATCCCGCAAGTTGAACCGTGCAAAGTGCAGCGTGCCGCCAATGCGATGCTTCTGACAGAATTACCACAGTTCACACGCTGGTGTGGCTGCAAGCTGCCGTGGAGGCACTGGCTGTTAAACCAGTGTTCCTGCCTCTTCCTCGCGATGTTGTTCGCAGGGCCAAGGGCAAAGGAATGCAAACCCCCGTGCCGTAGGCTGAGCAGGTCAACATTGTACGTTGTGGGCGAGTTCAATCAATTTTCAAAAGTTTGCTTTGCCTTTGCCGCTTGTTCGGAATTTTGATAAAGCCAGCCAAGCCAACCCTCACCCGCCCCTGCCCAAAACAATAAATGCATGTAAATGGCCATGTGTTTTGTGATTGCCTAGGCCTAAACCTCTTGGCTATTACCGTCCCCTCCCTACCCCATCTGGCTGATGGGTCTGACAGCATGCGCCCAGTTTGTTGCCCAAAGTGATCCAGTTTGTGTGCAAAGTGATCCAGCTACAGCAACCCCACTAAACTTGAACTCATCCCATGTACGCCCAGAGTGATCGATTCATTTCACCCCAACGCCATCCAATGTATGCCCAATGTTTTCCAGTATGCCCACAGTGAAGACACCCTTTTTGTGTGTTTGTTGATTCCTCCATGTCCAACGGTTGAACGTTTCCCCCATTGCAATTTTAGTGGTGTGGGCACGTGTAGGTGGATCTTTCCAATGGTTCAGGAATTACGAGAAGATCCTTGCATTCTTGCAAAAGCACAAAGCCCAGGTGCCGGAAAACCCGAACGGCAAGAGATTGTTGTATGAATTTGTGAGAGATGATAGGGATGGGAGGATAATCAGTCAGTATAGTATAGCTGATAATAAAAGCGTATATATACATGCATATATGTATATACATGCATATATTAAGAAATATATACATATTATATATATAGATACATTATACACATGATCTAAGTCTCTTTCTCTTTCTCGCCTCTATAAACATATGTTTTTGATTTGCAGATACATAATTATACATTGGATGCATGCTCACATATTTGTTTTACCAATATATGTATACATAAATACATATATGTATATATATATATACACATGTATATCGCATGTATATCTGTGTAACATCAAGAGATCATATATTTTATAAACGCGTCAGTCTTCCATGCGGTCATTGTTACAGAGAAAGAACCCCAAACTCCGTTGGTCTGGTCATTTTTCAAACCTTGGTTGCTATCCACCTGGGGTTCTTGGGATGGGAACTGATGGGAACTCAGTTGAAATCCAAGATTTTTTTCAACATCCGATGATCATGTGAGCTGAAGCGCGGCCAAAACTCGATGATGACTAGTAGCGTCGTACAAAATTCTACTGTTCAGTTGATTGGGATCCCCATGATTTATAGGCCCAATCAATCAGGAAGTATACCCCGCTATAAAGACCAATCAGCACGGATTTTGGTCACTGCTCATATTTTGGTTGGAACCAATACGAAACTTCTGGTCGGGGTCAAAATTTGGCCCTCTCAGGGGCCGTAATTCTCGGCATTTGTTTACCAGTTGAGTCCCCCGATTTAAAGGCAGGCAATTTTGATCCATAGCCACACGATCATGATCGACACAAAAAATGAGGTCGAAATGGATATGCATCTACCTGTTTGGTTGTACCAACTTATCGTGATGGAACTGATGGTGATAAGTGATGTTGGATTTACTTTCTGAACCACCTATCTTGACTTCCAGGATCATCCAAATACGCGCATATACTGTAATTACCCACTTTGAAACACATGCTGGAGCCTGACTCTGGATCAATTATGTGGCTTTGTCCATTTTTATGGGGTGTATCTCAAGTCCTTGCCGACATGACACATCATTTTGATCACCTTAAAAAGATTCAACTTTAGCCCATGGGCATAGCATGACATTCCCAGGTGCAAGGGAAGAGCGTGGGGCCATTGGAGCGCTGCCCGTACCCATCGAGCCGGGACCCAGCATCCCAGTGACCCCTTTATCGCTGGATGATATGGTTTCTGTTAGGGAAAATCCATCTATAAAATTTCTATAAATGGATTCTGCATGATTTGGGGGAACTACTTCAGTTGATCTTTGTTAGATAATTATGTTGAGATCATGATTGATGTCATTGTGGATTTTGGATGATTTTGGTGACTACCAGCAACCAATCTCTGATCTCAACTTGATCTTCAAATTGGTCACAAGGACTCGGCCACCCGGCAAGGTCGAGGACCCCCCAATTGCTGACAGACTTGACATGCGGACGCCGGAAAACGTGCGATGTGTGCTGCGTGGATTTTACTTGGGGCGTCACCCCATGGATGATACCCTCCGGTAAACTAACATAGCTATGGAAAATCACCATTTTTCATGGGACAACTCACTATTTCTATGGCCATTTTCAATAGCTATGTTAAATTACCAGAGGGTAAGTAGTCAACAACCATAGTGAGTTCACCGTTCATATTCTGCCGGTAATGGTGGACTTACGATCACCAGGGTTACTCAAAGGCAAAGGACGGTGAATGATTGGTGAATGACTTTCGCACTTGGGTATGGGTCAATACCTATAGATACATTTTAGTGGGATGAACATCCATTTACCAGCTATTTTTGGGTTCACCAGGGGTACCAGGGTTTTGACCCATCCCCACTTTTTGAGCCAGAAAAACAGAGCAAGGCTTCCAAAGTGCTGCCAGAGGAAGTTGACCAACATGACCTTCCCAGTGCTTTAATTAAAGATCTGTGAGCATGTTCCAAAGCCAGGTGACTAATTGGGCTCCCAGCAATACAAATATATATATATATAATATGTATATATATATAATATATATATAACATTATATAACTGACATATTCTATGTATAACTGACTTATTCTATGTACTACTGACTTATTCACCCTATTATGGTGTCATTTACCCAGCATTTTTTCAGTCGATTCCTGGGTCGATTCGATCCTCGGGGCGAAATCGATGGGTCCGCGAAGGTTCATGGTGAATTACATCGAGAATCGCCGCGGGCGCTGGCAACGCCACAGCAAGGTCCGGGTCCGGTACCCTCTGGTAAACTAGTATAGCTGTGGAAAAATCCATTTTTAATGGGCAAATCAACTATTTCTATGTGCCAAATTACCCGAGTGTAAATGACAAGAAATGGAAGGAAAACCCACCGGATGATGTATGACATATGTGTAATTTGCAGTAGATCTGGGGTGATAAGATGGGACTATGATATTTAGATCTGGGGTGGATGATTTCATACATCACTGTTTTGCTATTCATGAGCGAAACACGATTCATTGCAGAGAAATTGTCAACAGAAACAATGAACAGTGAAGATCACCTCGAGTTTCAAGGCATGCCTGGTCGAAGTGATCTTCCTGGTCAGTAGGATCAACCTTTTTCGCTCAGCCTGGTCAGTAACCCTTGATATCCCGGTGGCGGCAGTTTCCCCACCAGCTAGATCATTTTCGGTGGCCCAGGCTATGGGATTTGCACATCTAAAGAATCTAAACTTCTAGCCGAGCTGGGCCTAGCTAGGATAGTTCCAGAAAAACCATATTTTCATGACTTTTATCCTATGAGTCACCATGAAATCACCATGAATCACCGCTTTTTCACCCTTCATCCCATGAAATCACCATGAAATCACCATGAAATCACCATGAAATCACCCATCCTCTTCCGCTTGCCGCGCCAGGCCATAACCAGGGAGGAGATCATGGGAGAGAAAGAGAGGTCGAGCCGAGCGAGCCGAGCCCGGGAAGATGTCGTTTTCTGGGGATTTTGAAAAACCTGGGTTTGTTGAAGGGGATTTGGCTGATTTTTCCAATGGAAAATCCACCATTTGGGAAATCCAAAAAGTGAGGAATGAGGGAAACAGCTAATTTAATTAAAAATACCAGATGGCCATTATCCAGCGAAACTTTTGCGAATTAGCCAATCATGTAGAAATATGTAGAACAGCAAACATTTATTGAGCTTTTAGAAAGAATAACTTACTGGTGCTAAGTAAACGTAGGGAATTTTCGGGAATGATCCACCGGCTAACCTATCAATTTCATAATCCCAGCAACCCCCAGCAACCCATCCATTCCCTACGTTTAGCACCGGTGAGAATGAGGAGAAAAAGCTGATGAGACTTTTTTTTTGGGATCATCATGTCATAAATGGATGATATGGATGATATGATGATATGGATGATGGATGATATGGATGGCTTGATGGATCCTACTTAAAAAAAACGATGATTTGTTATTGGGATATGATTGACGTTGGCGAGATGATAAAATTGGGGAGATTGTGGGGATGTTGGACCATTTTTTTTTCTGATCAGTAGGAGTTTTCCAGGCTTGGGATGATAGCATCCAATGCCATCAATCATACCAAGTCGTCCTAAGACAGGGCAATAAATGGCATAAATCATCCCCACAATTTACCCTCTGGTAAACATACAAAAAGCTATTGAAAATGGCCATAGAAATAGTGAGTTTTCCCATGAAAAATGATGATTTTCCATAGCTACGTTAAATTACCAGAGGGTAATGAAGAATTTGGGGATGGTGGCTGTTATTGTGGATCTCTACATTCTCTACTCGGTACAACCCCACTTGATGGCCATGCCACATACGTCAAGCAACTTGCGGCTTGTTATCTTCCAGCAAAACCAAAAGGATCTGTTGGAAATCCACTGGCGGTTTGGGGAGGTTCTCATTGGTTGAGTTTTGGCCATAAATCTTGAGACATAGCCATTGGTATGGAAAATTATGGCTAAATATTGGAAGATTATGGAGACATATTGTGGAAAATCTTGACACCCAGCTGGAAATTCTTCTGTTTTTCAGGTACCCTCTGGTAATTTAACGTAGCTATTGAAAATGGCAATTTATAGTTGATTTTCCCATAAAAAATTGTGATTTTCCATAGCTATATTAGTTTGCCAGAGGGTATCCAAGATTTTTCACCATTGCTTCGCCACGAACGAGAGGATATGATTCACAAGAATGGCTTCGCCGGAGAAATGGAGACACAGACCATGCAGCATTTATACCCTCTGGTTATGACTAACATTGCCATGGAAAATGACCCAAAAACATAGATGGTTTACCTATTAAAAATTGTGATTTTCCATGGCTATGTTAGTCATAACCAGATGGTAAAGGATCATTTTTTGTTTGGCGGATAACTTTGCCTGTGGTCTTACTGTCAGGGTTCAGTGCAAACATGCCCAATAAACCAACCAGGTAGGCCCGCTTCGCACAAGTGGACTTATTTTGCACGAGTAGAATGGTATACAAATGGCAACAAATGGCTGTGCGACCCAACCAATTCGATTTGTATCTCAACTCCATCGGGAATTTCAGCTTAAGAAGTCGGCAGAAGTATCAACACCAATCATCTTCACCATTGCCCACAGAGGACACAGCCAAGTCGGTGGCTTCAAGCTAGTGATCCCCCCATCTTCCAAGTTCTTCCAATAGATCTCCGGTAATTTGTTACAGTTAGCATCAGTTAGCTGTTGAACATAGCCATTTATAGTTGATTTTCCCATGAAAAAAATGTGATTTTCCATGGTTTTTTGTATGTTTACCGGAGGGTAAATGACCGGACTTTTGGTTGAGCTGTGGCCCAAGACTCATTTGGATCGGGGATTGGGTGTAACACATGAGTCATACATGAGGATCCCGATTCTTATAAAATGGTGAGATATGGAAAACATGTGTATATAATTGTATATATATATATGTTGGGGATATTTTGGGATTATAATCATTATTATAATATCTGGTGGTTCAATCATTTTTATTTTTCCATAATATATGGGAATAATCATCCCAACTGACCAAATCATATTTTTTTCAAGATGGTTAAAGCCACCAAGCATATATATGTATATGTATATAATGAAAACCCATGGTTTCCCAGTGAATTTCCCAGGTTTTTATAATCCCAAATGATCCATATGTGAAATTTCCAAGGGTTTTTTCTTCCGGGGGATTTTGGTTAATCCCAAAGATTTTCATGGGAAAACTCCACGATTTCGACTGGGCCATGGCTGAAAAATAGCTATGTAACAAATTACCAAAGGCTAGCTCAGTTGGTGCAGAGAACTCCAATAACTATGGTTTATGAATGTCTATGATACGCAAATAACTAGAGTTAATGGAGTTTATAAACCAACTTATAAGCATAATCAAAACATATGGGACCTCCCCATATTTCATAGAAGCATAATCAAGAAGTTTCCTCTCCATTTTCCTTTGTACTTTCTTGTAGTGTTCCCATCTGCAGCCAGGATTGACATGAAAGTCTGCTGGAAGTACACACCGGCCATGGGCGAATCGGGTCCGATGGCACGTCATGTGGCGCAGGCTGACTGGGGCGGGGCAGGGTGGCGATTTTAGGGCCCAACATGAAGGCACTGTAGAACGATGTAGAACATATATATATAATATAATATATATAATATAATATAATATAATATAATATCATATAAATAATATAATATAATATAATATAATATAATATAGTATAATATAATATAATATATAATATAATATAATATAATATAATACAATATAATATAATATAATATAATATGATGTAATATAATATAATATAATATAATATAATATATATATATATAATAGAATATATATATAATATAATAATAATATATATATATACAATCATCATATTACGTATGATATGTGTATGTTGTGTATGTATACAATATGATATAGAATCTATAGTGTAAGTGATATACATATATATAGATTAATTAAGGCGAATCCTTGGGCATTCTGGGATGGTCTTTTTAAACCATTTTGAACCATTGGATTTTTTCAATAGGGGACCCAAAATCACATGTCATCAGATTCCCCATAAATTCGATGTAGACAAACCCAAATGAGCAACGATCAAAACCCCCCAAGAAGAGTTTAGTTAAACTCGTCAACTCCAATACCTTCGTGGAAGCTGGCACTGCAGTCGCGGAAGCCCCGCGAAAGGTCTCGCGGAACCCTTGTTTACCAGTCGCTTCGCGGAAGACCCGCGGAAGAGCATATATGAATATATATATATATATGATAATGATTGTGTTCCACAATTATGGGGCTTAGATTTACGGCATGGTCCACCAGGTGTAGGGCTTGTGTTTTCGTTGTTCATATCCATCTCGTAACACCACTGTGATAACCAGCTGCTGGAGTGCTGCTGCTCTTCAGGTTGGCACACCGCTACACAATGATTATACCAACCGTGTGCGATATTCCTGCCCCAGTTCAAAATGGCTATCAACACAGATGCACCCGCGGAAGTCAAAACCCACACCGCGGAAGATGTGCGGAACCTTTCGCGGAAGCGAATGGGAGTATACAGGAATCGTCAGAGGGTTTTGAACACCGCTCAAATAGGATATTGGTTTTATATCTTACGATATCTCCTTGATGGTTGGTTATATGCACACTAGTACATATGCATATACATATGTATATGCATATATATATACATACAATTATATACACCTATACATACACACACATAGTATATATATAATATGTGTATATATATATGTGTATATGTATCTTATTTATATAATTACATTATATATATATGATATATATATATATGTACGTATGTATCCGCATGCATATACGCAGCCTGTGTTTAATCTTTTTTGATTCCTCTGCCCTTTGCGCTTTGTCGATCTCTCTGCAGGTGGGAACCTTGTCCCTTTTGGATCCCAACTCCATGAGCGACTGCTTAGTCAGCCCGGTTGCCCAGCGGTTTTCTTAGTGGACCAGAGAAGGATAAAATAAGGTCCATAATTAAAAGGTGTTATCAATGTTATCCTCATATCTATTTAAGATAGGGATGTCTAAAGAAGATGAACAGTTTTACTTGATCTCTCATTTTTTGCGAGGACATCTGAGGAAATCTGATGTTTCTTCGCCTTCAAAACGCCACAAAGAGATGACATTTTTGTTTCGGGGGCCCGGCTCGTCATCAACGTGCAGAACTCAGGTTTGACCTCACTGGTGAAGAAGCAGACCACTCCATATGCTCCGATGATCATCTCCTTCAGGCAGCGTTTCCCTGGGAGAACTGGGGGAATCCAACCATGACAAGGGACACAATATGTTCGTACCACACTTGCCACAGAAAAACTATCCACTGGAAAGATATGATGGGATACCCTCTGGTAAACTAACATAACTATGGAAAATCACCATTTTCAATGGGAAATTCCACTATAAATCACCATTTTCAATAGCTATGTTAGTTTACCAGAGGGTAGAATCACAAACATCTTGGAGGTGAAAGTTGGATGTTCATCCCAGCTGTAGATGGTAGCCATGGTCGCAGCTTAGAAGTGGAGTGTGCCAGGGCTAATTGGCAACACATTATCCTTCGAAGGTTACCAGCAATGGATGATTTATTCATTTCTATTCATCACTTTTGTGACCCGGAAGTTTTTGAAAGTAGCCTGAGTCGAAATGAGAGAGACGCCAGAGTTTTACTAGTTCATTCATTGGATTACTCCTCATTTCTATCAAGTTTTCTGTAGTAAAATTGACATCATCAACTGGTAAACCGCTGATTCATAGTTATTCTACTTGGTGGCTCATCCCACTTAGTAAGTGGGTTATAACCCCAGATATAAATGGATTAACCAGGATCAACCCTAGTAGCTTCTAGGCCAATCTTAGATGGGTGGAAACTAATCCTGCTATGTCTTTTGGTATCAATGCGATTGTCTACTGACCATCTAAGAATTTATTTTTTTGCAGGACATCTAAGATTGGCACTGTTGTTTATAGGTGGTTTTTACATCCCATCATAATCCCATTATAATCCCATTTAATGTGGTTAAAACAATCATAATCATCCATAATCATCCACCTATAATCCCATTATAATCCCATTACCCTCTGGTTATGACTAACAGTTCGCCATGGTATAGATGGCCCTAATCGAAATAGATGCTTTATCTATTAATAGCATGGGGATGTTCCATGGCTATGTAACAAATAACCAGAGGGTATATCATCTATTATATGGTTTATAGGGTAGATATCCCTATTAAAAATGGGGATTTTCCATGGCTAACCGTTAGTCATAACCAGATGGTCTGTCGATTCTGGAAAGTCACGTCCGTCAGAGGACCGCGACTGCGGAGACGGGAAAGCGCTACACTTCCCTGGAGGCTCTCCGGTTTTTAAAACTCCTCCCTGGAGGGCCATAATTCTTGTGGTTACTACCCTCTGTTAAATAAACAGTTGGACCCTGAAAATCACCAATTTTTAATGGACACTAGACTTCCAACGCCGTTTTCTGCCAGGGTCTATGTTAATTTACCAGAGGGTATTACTCTTAAAATGGTTATAACTGGTGATTTCTAAGGATTAAACATTCTATAAATGGGGTTTTGTTAGTAGTTATACCTGGTAATAATAATAATAATTGGCTTATAAACCATGAAACAAACCCCAATAAGTATAGTTATATCTACCATAAACCATATAATAGATGATATACCCTCTGGTTATTTGTTACATAGCCATGGAAAGATCCACCATGCTATTAATAGGCAAATCACCATAAACCATCTATTTCTATGGACCATGGCTACCATGGCTATGTTAAATAACCAGATGGTACTATTATTATTACCAGTATTACTATTATTACTCTTACTATTTTTTTTTATTGTTGCTGTTATTATTATTTTTATTTATTATTTTTATTTATTATTTTTATTTATTATTATTATTTATTATTATTATTATTATTATTTATTATTATTATTATTATATATATAGATAGTATATACGCACACATTTTCTTATATTATAGATTTCATGACTATTAGCTGACTCTCATTAGTGACATAATGAACATGAACTTGTTCTATACAAATTAGAATATATGGATATATTTGGTATGAACCATGAGTATCCCCAACATTCTGATTGTTAAGTGACTATTGACCAAGAGTTGGATGGTTCAATACCACATGATGACTAACATCTGTGAGGCAGATTCTTTTTGCGCCACTTCTTGATTCATGCTTGGTAGAATCTTGGGACCTGCAAAGTAGAAACTGAAGATGTAAATTCTAGATTTTGGGTTGAGCATGGATACGGATATGAAAGGTAGCCGCAGCCACGAATCAATCTGAGAATTGATTTGAGGGAGGATTTACTGGAATAGCCATAACTTGCATGGTAGAAGCCAAGTTTGCAATCAACACGTCTCAAACTTGGATGAAGTAAAGAGGTGCAGGAAAGTATGTAAATTGAAGGACAGCACTATACCACGCCCCCTCAGATGTGAGGGTACAACCCTGGGAAAGTTGCAGGACCCCTAGATTTGAGGGTACCACCCTGAGTTATGGGAAAGGTTACAGCACTTCTCTGAACATTTGGGTCAAAAAATTGGTTTTCTTTAATTTTGCCTCAAGTCAATCAATGTTTCCCCTGAAGTAGGCTCCCTGGTGTCATCAAGCATGTCTAAAAAAAATCCGGGTTAGTTTGATGATTTTCCCAGCCATTTGCTTCTGGAAAACAACCCGCCATGTCTTCACAGGGACGGATGCGTCTTCGGATCTACTTTGTGAGGACGACGGCATCGCAGCGCAGCGCTGCGCCCGGTCAAGTGGGATGGGATGTTGCCCGATTCGCCCAGTCCTTGCGGGGTGGACATCAGTCCACTCGTAGGGTTTTTGTCAATGATATATGTATATATATAAATAGGAATATCCATTGAAAAAAAACATATAATGATAATGATAATAATAAACATCATCATAATAGTAGGTGACCAGAAACTATGGACTCTGGACCATGTTTTGAACAGTTTGCACATATCAACTCATCATATAGATACTTTTAACATGGGGAATCAAGTGCCCTGGGCCGGCTGAAGGTTTAAAGTATTTTTCAGTTCATTTGTGCATTTCCACCCAGAATCTTTCAGCTAGGCATTCAAAATGCTTGGACATAAACATCAATCATGGGCAAAAGGGTATCATTTCATTTATTGGTACATATTTATATATATACACACACACCTATATACGTACATATATATATGTACATATTGAATTATATACATCTTTGATTGAGTACTCTTCATTCAGCCAAAAAACACTCCCATGGAGTCACAGCCATGGCCCAATATTTGCTCGATGATTTTATAGCATTTATGTGAACATCATCATAGATAAAATGGTATAAAATCATGATTTATTTATAACATCATTATCATTATGAAATGATTATGATTATCATAAATCATACCTGGTATAAAATCATCGATGATAGAAAAACGATCATTTATGTGATGCTATACCATAGGCTTTCTTGCGTTCGCAAGATCAGTGGTTGCATCACCAGGACAGTTGCTCTAAAAGCTACCTTCGTGGATGGTGCAGCCATCGAGGAAAATCAGGCTGGACCATATTTTTTCAGGGGATGAACACCCAGCGAAACCAGCGTTTTTTGATGTGAACACCCAGCGGTACCATCGGGGTTTGCTCCACAGCCTCACATAAAAACATCATGATTAGATCGTCAGAATCATCAATGTCAAACCGATAAATCATAAGAATTTTTTAGTGCGACCCCACTGGAACGATGGTTAGTAGCGCTTTGAGGGAATCATACCCTTTGCAAGATCACCCCACCATGATATCGGGTGATGTTTGAACAGACAGCCATCACTCCCTTACTGTAAAGCCTAACCAGAGACCACACAAAAAACACACCATTGAAGGGCTGTTATTTCACATCACTAGTGGCTACTTTTTGTTTAATCTATAGACTACGATGAAAACTGCGGGGTACCACATGCCACAAAGCATCCAAAACCCACACTCTCAACCAGGATCTTTTGGGGAATCTACAGGGATAGAAATTTTGAGCCAAGCGTGAGCGACGTGGATCTTTTTGGCATGTTATCATACCATGAACGATATTAATATGGTTCATTATTTGGCGAATGACGATATTTACTCCTCCTAGTTATTAAAACATTGGGTAGATGATTATTATTATCGATTATTCCTCATTGCTAGATTCTGTTACGTTTCTTCCTTAACTATGATTGCTGCTACGAATTATTCTTATTGCTCACACATTATATAGCTCAAGATAAAATATAGTGACCTCACTGTGACGTCGGTTAGTAAGGGGACTGGTCTTATTTCAGCCATTTTCAGGTGGTTATATCTCAACTTTTGGGGGTAGTTACCATGGTTAGTGCCATGGTTTTTTGTAGCCAGATTGAATCCCTTCAAAAATGGCGAGATTCCGGTGATATTCCCATTGTTGTATATGAATTGTTGGTTAAATTCGATTGATACCACCATATATTCCCTATACCCTCTGGTAAACTAACATAGCAATGGAAAATGGCAATTTATAGTAGATTTTCCCATTAAAAATGGTGATTTTCCATTGCTATGTTAGTTCACCAGAGGGTATATCCCATGCGATGTATATATTTACAGCCTCAATGGATCTCAACGAACCCTTGACGCCCAGGGTGAAGACGAGCTGAACGAGGCCAGGCAGTCCGGGCACCCAGTGACAAAGACGAAGATTGACAGGACAGGGGTGTCTTTTGTGCAACAAATGGGGTTAACACTTGTTTTTTTGCGTGTGTAGGACATTTTATATGATTGAACTATGGTTTAATGTAAATTTGATTGGACTTGACTGCTGGTTATAGCATATTTAGGTGGACGAACATCCATTTGCCAGCTATTGCTAATCTTATCGACATATGGGGGTTTCCTAAAATGGGGATACCCCTAAATCATAGGTTTCAACGAAAAAAGTCTCATTTTGGATGATTGACGGGCGTTTCCTAAAATGGGGGTACCCCTGAATCATAGGTTTCAACGAAAAAAGTCTCATTTTGGATGATTGACGGGCGTTTCCTAAAATGGGGGTACCCCTGAATCATAGGTTTCAACGAAAAAAGTCCCATTTTGGATGATTGACGGGCGTTTCCTAAAATGGGGGTACCCCTAAATCATAGGTTTCAACGAAAAAAGTCTCATTTTGGATGATTGACGGGCGTTTCCTAAAATGGGGGTACCCCTGAATCATAGGTTTCAACGGAAAAAGTCTTATTTTGGATGATTGACGGGCGTTTCCTAAAATGGGGGTACCCCTGAATCATAGGTTTCAACGAAAAAAGTCTCATTTTGGATGATTGACGGGCGTTTCCTAAAATGGGGGTACCCCTGAATCATAGGTTTCAACGAAAAAAGTCTTATTTTGGATGATTGACGGGCGTTTCCTAAAATGGGGCTACCCCTGAATCATAGGTTTCAACGAAAAAAGTCTCATTTTGGATGATTGACGGGCGTTTCCTAAAATGGGGGTACCCCTAAATCATAGGTTTCAACGAAAAAAGTCTTATTTTGGATGATTGACGGGCGTTTCCTAAAATGGGGGTACCCCTGAATCATAGGTTTCAACGGTCGATTTCCTAAAATGGGGGTACCCCTGAATCATAGGTTTCAACGAAAAAAGTCTTATTTTGGATGATTGACGGGCGTTTCCTAAAATGGGGGTACCCCTTAATCATAGGTTTCAACGAAAAAAGTCTCATTTGGATGATGACGGGCGTTTCCTAAAAGGGGGTACCCCTGAATCATAGGTTCAACGAAAAAAAAGTCTCATTGACGGGCGTCGTGACTTAATATGTTTCAAACGAAAAAGTCCCATTTTGGATGATTGACGGGCGTTTCCTAAAATGGGGGTACCCCTAAATCATAGGTTTCAACGAAAAAAGTCTCATTTTGGATGATTGACGGGATTTGACGGGCGTTTCCTAAAATGGGGGTACTCCTAAATCATAGGTTTCAACGAAAAAAGTCCCATTTTGGATGATTGACGGGCGTTTCCTAAAATGGGGGTACCCCTAAATCATAGGTTTCAACGAAAAAAGTCTCATTTTGGATGATTGACGGGCGTTTCCTAAAATGGGGGTACTCCTAAATCATAGGTTTCAACGAAAAAAGTCTCATTTTGGATGATTGACGGGCGTTTCCTAAAAGGGGGGGTACCCCTAAATCATAGGTTTCAACGAAAAAAGTCTCATTTTGGATGATTGACGGTCGTTTGCTAAAATGGGGGTACCCCTGAATCATAGGTTTCAACGAAAAAAGTCTCATTTTGGATGATTGACGGGCGTTTCCTAAAATGGGGGTACCCCTGAATCATAGGTTTCAACGAAAAAAGTCTCATTTTGGATGATTGACGGGTGTTTCCTAAAATGGGGGTACCCCTAAATCATAGGTTTCAACGAAAAAAGTCTCATTTTGGATGATTGACGGGCGTTTCCTAATATGGGGGTACCCCTAAATCATAGGTTTCAACGAAAAAAGTCTTATTTTGGATGATTGGTGGGGTACACATATTTTTGCAGGACCCCCCCTGAAATCTTTTCGAAGCTTCGAAGCGCCGAAGGTACATCTGCGGCAAGCTCTTCCGCGAGGTCTGGTCCTCCGACGAGCTCAACGGCTTCCCCATGCCCAGAGGCGATGCAATGTTGGGGCCAGGTTTTGAGCACCTCCAAGTCACCATAGGTTTCAATATATTAAAACGATCTGATTTTGGATGATTTGGGGGTAGCACCATTTTAGGAAACCTTCATATTTAGGCAAGAAACACATAGAAACACCCAGCTATACCAGCTATTTTTGATGTCAAAACCAGGCGCACAGCTTTTGAACCATCCCGAAATGGTGGTTTCTTATGTCATGACTGTGATTTTCAAGAGAAAATTTGAGCAACAAACCCACATGTTGTAAACATGAGGGAACACAATGTCAACGCCAAAATTTGAAAGTTTGTCGCTTTGTCGGAACGGAATCCAACTGGTGACACTGTTTCCTCCGTGAAAGGAACGCATAGAAAAGACATGTGATTTAGAAAACACACAAATGGTGGTTTCTTAGAATAGTTTCCCAAAAATTATCAAGAAGTGATGATTCTCAACAGAACAACCATTGGGTTTTGGGTTCCCTCATGTTGAGAAAACCGCAAATGTCGCGATATCATTATCATCAAATTTGAAAAAAATACAGAAATGGATCTAACTGATGACACCTTTTCAAGGTTCATGAAAGGAACACATAGAACAGACATGTCATTAGGATTGCTTGGGTGGACCTTGCAAGCTAATGATACTTGGTGATGTCGACATGGTCGACACCCTTTTCCACTGTGCCAGGCTGCTACTACAAGACTTACGGACAGACGCAGGACCACTGGAAAGGGAGCTGGGCCAGTAGGCTCAGTAGGGTTTCAGGCCGGTCAAAGCTTGTGTTCCTTTATGGCAAACCATCAAAAAATATCAAAAAGGGAAATCAGCTGATGGTTCCATCCATGTCTTGGAATCTCGTTGGCCTTTTGGATTCTTTTATTACCCCCCGTTGTCACAAAGCCTGATCCGAAGAAGGCAGGTTGGCGAGTTTGCAGGCCAACATTTCAAGTGCTAAGGCACACCACGAGGAGCTGTTGAAAAGCGGCTCCTAGGTCACCCAGTGGAACGGAACTTCAGTCCCAAGCTGGGATTGGTGAAAGTAATGTTAGCAAAGCAATAGGATCCCCAATAACCTACCATGACCTATCATTTTTGTGGCTATGTATAAACCATCAGTCCATATGGATCCATATGGGTTTATGACATTCGACCAACATTCGTAGACTGCAGGAGTTGAACATCCTCTTCGATCGAAAGAACGGCTTGGCGCCGGGGAAGTACTACCAGGCGCGCGCTGCGCCTTCTGCGCCTTCTGCGCCTTCGCCTCTTCGATCATCCCCACGGACTGGGTGTTTCCCCTGGGGGTAGTTTCCACGAAAAAGCTGGGATAGGCAATTACCAGTCAGTTACCAGTCCGGAAAGCTGAACCGAAGTAGACTACATGGACTTACTAAGTCGCGGGGTTAGTTTTCCCAGTTATCACTGATCCTCCAAGTGACGGCCATGGAACGATGTTGCGGGCGTGTCTGTCATGGGATGTGCGCAAATTAAGGCCAGTCTAAGAGGGAACAGTAATGCTATAATTTTTGAACTGGTGGATGGAATTGTTTTCCCCCTGAATCTTCATACACACCCATCTGATCTGAAGATTGAGGAAGCTTTCAGATAGAGTCTGTACTTGGATGTCCATCCCGGTTTGTATGTGATTGGAACATGCCCTGTGTATCGCTGGGGTTTATCCATCTAAAACTTGATGATGATGACGATGACGATGATGATGACGATGACGATGATGATGATGATGACGACGACGACAACGACGATGATGATGATGATGATGGTGGTGATGATGATGATGATGATTATGCTATAGATGAACATGACGATGAAGATGAAGATGAAGACGAAGATAACGACAACGACGAGGAGGAGGAGGAGGAAGAGGAGGAGGAGGAGGAGGAGGAGGAGAAGGACGACGACGACGAGGACGACGACGAGGACGAGGACGAGGAGGAGGAGGAGGAGGATGATGATGATGATTATTTGCCACATACTAACTGGGGTGCACATCCAAGTATGCAATATGGTTAATATGCAATATGGTCAATAGCTCATGTGGTAATCCACCAGCAAAAGCTCACTAAGGACACATTGACTGCATAGATGTCTTTCTCCCACTGGGCGGTTGGCTACCGTTGAACAACCAGTAGGAAAACCATGGTAAATAGATGTATATAAATAGTATATATATATATATATGTATATATATATGTATATATATATATTATATATGTATATATATATATTATATATGCATATATATATATATACACATTGTATGTAAATCGTTTTGATATGTATGTATTGTACCATATCTCTCCTGTAGTTCTTTTACATCACCTTGGGACACCATTCTCCATGAAAAATATGATTTCGCTGGAGGATGGAAACATCATCCTGACAGAGCTTGTGAAATGCTGACCATACTTGGTTCGGGGGGAAAACTAGAGACCCGCAGACCCGGCATGTGGGCTGAGGAATTTGGCACCCTGAAAATCCAATGATGTACCCTCTGGTAATTTAACGTAGCTATTGAAAATGACCATAGAAAGTGTGGATTTTCCCATTAAACATGGTGATTTTCCATAGTTATGTAAACGTTTACCAGAGGGTATCATCACTTTCTAAAATAGTACTTTGGTGCCGGGCATCTCCAACCCATGTACATCAACGTTTCCATCACTTGGCCTTTTTTTTAGTATCTGGCTCTGGTTCGCATTGCTGTTCCCCAAAAAACAGCCATAGAATGCCCCTGGAATGCCGCCCCAGCCTCCAAATCCTTGGTTTCTGTGGATTTTCCTTGGACACATTGGACACTCCCTTCGACTCCCTTCCTGCCAGGTGGTACTTAGTGGAGTTGCCATGGATGAGGCCTGCCAGCAACGTCACATTTTTTCTCCAGAGACGTCCTGATCAGCATGGGATAAACAACAAACCTAAGGTGATTTGAAATAATCTAAACATGGGACAACTTATCCATATCTAAGTTGCTTGAAGTAAATAGGCAGTTGGATTTCTCGCGGATTATTCTATACTTCCGGAGGGAAACTTTTACAGTTTCTTTGGCAGCTGGATGTAAATCGCGAGGGAGGAAATCTTTGTGCAGTTAAATGGTGCTTAGTCTCTCCTTGTTCGATATTTGTGGAAGAAATGTCAGACAGCCTGTTGGGGTTACATCGTCTATCTCGTTGTCAGGTTTGTTTAGTAGAAGTTCTACACTTAACAACTAATTTTACAAAAGCGTCCGGCAATCATGACAAGGCTCTAGTTACTCTAGTTTGGGCTCTCGCACATGTGGTATTTTGATCCTTCAACCTCGCAAAGGAGCAGTTTCCTATCCCATAGGATCCATGTATGCAATATATGGTAACATTTACCATCAATATACCCCAAATGTTAGCATATATACCATACATGGATCCTATGGGTATGCTTTTCTGTTTCAAGCTGTGCTTTCACATGACCTGAAAATCGGTGACCGGATCAACATTTTGCAGGATTTTGCAGGTCATATTTGAGGGATTTCCATCCCAGAAACGACACGGGAGATCCTGTAACTAATGTTGGTAAAGCAATGTCATTAAAACCATCCATATTTTGATGGAAAGGAAGCACCCATTTATGGTAAAGTTATGGGGATGGTGGATACTATTGCTTTCGTAGCAGATCGGTTACTGTGAACATGAATCCAGAGGGCATACTGCGGCCCATGATCTAACATGCCATCAGCATTTTGTTTGGCAATGGAACATCTCCAGAAAATTATTTCATATGATTTCCATAAATTCTCCGAGCATAGTATCCCTATGTATTCCGAATACTAGATGCCATTGAATGAAAGGTATTCCCCATATTTTTGAACAACGTTTTAAATCCACCATGAATATACCAAATCTGGCTGATGGTTTTTCCCTGTCAGGCTGTTTCCATATAGAAATCTGGTTCCCAGGCCACCCGCAATGGCGAGTACGTTCAGATCTTCACTACCGACGTCTGAGTCTCGGGATGAGGGACATGTAAATTCTGGGCTTTGATTCGCCACTGGCTTTTTAGGTACAACCAATTTTTTCTGCAAGGTGCTATATATGTATATAAATACCCTCTGGTAAACAAACATAGCTATTGAAAATGGCCATTTATAGTTGATTTACCCAGTAAAAATGGTGATTTTCCATAGTTATGTTAGTTTACCAGAGGGTACCTTTTGATAAGCAAGCATGACAATCGAAAGTCACCTACTCATGTAGGTTTTTCCATTTTTCTTTTGTTTTCCAAGTTGTGAGGTTGGAGATTTCTTGTCAACAGGTAAAATCATCCATATCATCCACATCATCTGAAGATATCATCCATACCATTCGTATCATTCATATCATCGATACGACATATCACGACTTAAAATACATTCATTTTTGCATCTGGTTGGTGGTTTGGAACATTTTTTATTTTTCCATTCAGTTGGGAATTTCATCATCCCAACTGACGCACTCCATCATTTTTCAGAAGGGTAGGTAATTATACCACCAACCAGGCATCATCCGCCATATCCGCCATGGCCTCCCAGGAGAGTGTCCGGGTTCCCCCTCCGACGTCGCAGGACGTCGATGTGCATCCCTACCTTGCCTTGGAACGGGGCATTGCGCCCTTGTACCGCTCCCCGCAGGCACGGGGTGTGAGGCGGCCGAGGTCAAAGATATATATACTTGGTCTCTGAAAGATTCGTTAGTTTTTGAGGACTTGAGTTGAAACTCTCTTTATGCTAGACAATGTGAGAGCCAGAATAGGAAACCATCCCCAATTTGTGGTTTATGTTTGGTTATAGCCCTGCTAGGGATGATTTACAATATTCCCGAATGGTTTATACTTGGGACGGGTTATAACATTGTGGATCCCACATTATTCAACAAGATCAACAAACTAACATCGGGATGATTTGATTTATTCAACCAACAAATTAATCCATCTGGGTAAACTAGCTACAATTCCCAAATCAGAAAAGAGTCGCCCATTTTGCCCCCCCTTCAATCTCCTTGGAAGATCATGCCGCAACTGGCAACCCTGATGATCATCCAGCAGCGGGGAGATATCATATCCATAGATGTCCCAAATTCCCATTGGTTGGTTGGTGAATAGAGGGGTTTGTTTACCCCTTTAACAACAGGTAAATGATAATAGATGGTATACCAAATCGGCCCCTCTATTTTTACCAAAAGGACATTATTGATCATATCCCATTTGGAACTGGGTGTCATAACAGTAGTACAAGTCCAAATTCACGACACAGAAACCAGACAAGCCGGTTACTCAGTGCCTCCTTTTCCGGTGACAAAGGCGTTACGCCATCTGCCGTCGCTTCAGGACGCGGCCTATGGGTCACAAGGCGTGAAGTTTGCAGAGACCGAAGGGGTGAAGATCTCCAGTGGCGATGGTACAGAGATGCTCGATGAAATGCTTCGATGGCCCTGGAAAATCCCCCAAGAATCAACGGGCCCAATGTCAACCCTGGATGAATTACAGGCTAAAACTATGTTTTTTAGTGCTGGCTTGGGTTTCACCTTTGGCTTAATGGTGATGAGATTTCATGATATCATGACTATAATGTCAACCCTGGATTAATAAACCCCTAGCCCGGCTGTGACTAATTGGGAGGGTACCATAAAAAAGTATCAGATGAAATGACTATTGGAGGAGTACCCCCTAATTGATAAACCATGGTATTACTCATGAATGGTAACTATGGTATAGTATGGTTATATTCATGGAATTCTATACTATCCCCATTGATATATTCATCACATTTCACAAGCAAAACATAGCAACGCGAAGCTATGATTCATACCTTGAAATACCATAGACGGGGCGATGAACCATTGATCACTGGGGTACCCCAAAAAACTTAGGACACCAATTGATAAGACATGCCCCAATATTTGGTTCTGTCCTGGCCCACGAACGTGCTGCTTAGGATGTGGTCACATCCTTAAAAAACATCCGACCCGACGGAAATTCAAGATTGAAAAGCTATTACAATCATAATCCCATTATAACCAGAATTCCAGGGCTATTACCTGCTATAAGGAGGTTTCCATTGCCGTGTTTCATAGCAGGTAAATTACCCCTTATCATGATACATCCTAAGCACAATATAGCGGGTGACAATTCATTTTGTTGGTGATTACCATGATTTCATCCTATTCTTGTTGGTATCAGAATTTCAATTGCGTTAAAAACTGTTTCATATATCATAACGAGTATTTTAAATGGTTCTATCCTAATGAAGAGTCTTGGCTAAATCTCTATTCTTTGTTGGTTACTTTGATTCTACCCCGATTTTTTTTTGATTCATTGTCATGCATTTTTGTGTATGAAAATCTCATTGTTTCTTGGTCGTTTCAATGGATTGGTTTCAGGGAAAGTCTGCACCAGCGGGATGGGGCTGTACCTTCGGTGGAGCGTGCGAGAGCCGGCGAAGAGTACTACATTTCGTGGTAAAAACCAGGCTTTCAACCGTAGATCCCAAGAAAACCGTAGGATTCCGTAGAAATCCAAGCTGGCTACAACTGGCTACAACCTAGTCTTTAGCCGTCTTTAACCTCTCAAAATGTCTCAAACCTGTGGATCAATTGCCCGCCGCCATAGCCATTGCCGCATTGCCCGCTGAGGATGTTAGAGCTGAAGGGCGGTACCGTGCCATGGCTCAGCTTCCAACCTGATCTACAAATGGTGTCCTAAGTCATGGGGGTACCCCTAAATCATCCATTTTAATTAGTATTTTTATGTATTTTTCATTATAAACCAACCATTTCAAACAAAAAAAACAACAATTTATGGAAACCCCCAAGTGTTGCATCGAATCATGCTTGGCGGCTTGGAATAAGGTCATTTTCCATCTCTGGCTGGGGATGAATACCTCCATTACCCGCTTCGAATGCATTGAAACCACCACCAAAGAAAAGCAACTGTCAAGTTGATGACTTTGGGGGTACTCCAGCAACTTGTTGGGCATACTCAATTTTGAACCGCACTCATGCAATGTGGTGCCCCCCTATTTATCAGTTACATTCTAACCACATCGAAGTATAGATATATTTGCCATAAACCATAGTAAACCTCGTGATAGACCCATTTAGCCAACTATGGGGCTCCACATTTCTTTAAATTCCTGGTTCAAGTCCCCTTCAAAAAGGGCCGTTGATCATGACCCAATTGTCCCTACGATTGGGGTGATCCACCAAGTTGTTTTTCGATGTTCCCATTCTCCCATGATCACTGGCTATAGGCTATATCAATCTATATCAAGTTATCAATTGCGGTGGTTAACGTCAAATCCCAGTGATTGTCACGTCAAACTCGGGTCTGAAATTCTTGATATCCCCAAGATGGTCCCCCTGTCAATCCCAATGTCATTTGTCATGTTTTGCCATGAAATCAACTCCACTGGTCGCTCCAACCTACAGCTGTAGCGAGACTTGTGGGGGAACATCCACCCTTTTGCTCCTACCCTATCTGGGACGTTGCCAACAACCCTGGTTATCCCTGGTTCGGTTTCACAAAACTCAAGTCTTATGGGTAATCTTTAGACCAAACCCACCTAAAATGGATGGTTCAATCTGGTTTCATCGTAACATATAGTAACCATTAGCAGCCAATTGAACGGTGTTCGAAACTCGTGTTGGTTGATGAGCGGGTGCTCAGCTCCCGAAACTCGGTGAAGCTTCATGATCAACCTCAAGGATGAGAAAGTCACAGAAAACTCCTACTAGAATAGTGATCTCCTGTTTGTTTGTTTTTTTTTCTCCTCCTTGGGGTTTAAAAAGATCAACTAGAATAAACAAGTGATCATCTGTTTTTTTCGCCGATCATTTTTGGGCTTTCTACCAGCCTTTTTTTTCAACATCACCAGTGGCTTTCGTTCGAAACTCCGCTGGTTTCCGCGTCGTTAGGAGTTGAAGCTGGTGTTGAAGGGGGATCCCTTGGGTGGCGGCATCAGTGCGTCGGGGAGCCCGTGGGGTACGAAGCCGATCACCAGGGGACCACTTTTTGCAATGACAAAACATCGATGATTTCTTGGGAAAAATGGTGATTTCATGGGATTTAACTTAATTTAACCACGAAATAAATGGTGATTTGATGGTGATTCACCCTCTGGTAATGACTAACAGTTAGCGAACTTGAAAATGGCCCATTTATAGTGGATTTACTCATTAAACATGGTGATTTTCCCATCAGTTTTTTGGTCATGTTTACCAGGCCGGGTACGATCCGTTTTGATCATCCTCCAAGTGTTGACAAGTTGTGACCCCAGCGAAGTCTCTGAGTTGTTGAAACAAACTTCGGTGAGAAAGATTTACGGATGGTGTTGAATTCAAATCTCTTATTTCCTGATAAGATTATATGAGCTGTGGTCAATACTCATGGTTAATAACCATTAAAAACGGGGCTAGTCATCCAATGGTTCATAGGGATTAAAATTAACCATTATTTTTGGATCCTTATTATGGATGGGATGACCATCAACCATATAGTGAGTATTGACCATGGCTCATATATAAGATGCACATTTTTTAGAAGTCATCCATGACGTAATGGTGTACATTTGAAGGTTAAGGATTGGCGATGATGCGACTATGGTCACTATGGTCACTGTCAAGCTAATTCATATCCAGATCAGATCCACATAGTTTTTTTGCCGGCGAATTCCAATGTTCGTCTGTGCTAAAGTTCCCATGTTTGTTCGATTACTACCTACATAGTTGTATCTTCGTCTGTGTATGCATATGTGTGCAAGTACACACGACATATACACACACACACACCAATCTTCATACCCATGCACATGTCTGCATTTACTTGTCTTATCTACGCAGGCAGAATAATTATCTATTTATCTACATATCATTATCTGTACCTTCCGATAAATAAACACACCAATCCACTAAACGGGAAACTGATGATCCCTGAATTTCACAGCTGTTGTAGGCAGATATATTCATATATTATGCTAATAATCTATATACAGACTTGGCCATTTTGAGTGTGTATGTATACATATATATATATATAGATAGAATAGACAGGAAGACAGATAGATCAATCCATAGATAAATCAATAGTTCAATAAATATCTATATAGACATTACATCGAGAAAGATTGGATAGATAAATATTCAATAGATAAGACAATAAATAACCGATGACCCATGAATCATGAATTTATCGATAGTAGTTTATCTAAATACACTAATGTACACATATCAAATTAATAGCTTGTTTAGTGAATTGATAAAACATTAAGCACGTGATTAAAAAATACATACATCATACATATGTAGATGACTCTTAGTCAACAAATCTAAGAAATATATAATGAAATCAATAGATAAACAATGATAAAAGCATCAATAAACGGCAATTAGTGAAAGATCTCAAATTCCTAGGTATTCAAAGATCATTTCATCTAGTATTTGTTTTAGTTTATCTAATCTTAATGTACAAATACTTGAAATACAATAGCTTATCTATTCATTAAGTGATCTATTTGAATAGATATGTACTGTATCAGGTATATGCGTTTGATGATCTATACCAAAAATAAATCAACTGATAGAACAACATAAATGACAACAAATAGGTATCATCTGTTAATCTGAAAATTGGTGTTTCCATTGTTTTTTTTTTGAGTGTTGTCATCAATTAATCATGAAAGTAAGTCAATAGGTGACAACATCAATCATAGATGAACAATGAATTTCAATCATAGTTTCTCCAAATAGACGAATTGGAAACAATGGATTGGCTTAAGGGAGCAAAATGATTTTCCCATGGATTTCTATAGGGGTTTCCGGTTTCGTTCCCTTAAACCAATCCATTTTTCAATAGATAAAAACTTTTCCAAAAACATGAAATGACCATTTTTATTCCATGAAGCTTCGCGGAGGTCTGCCATCCTTCGCATCTTCTTATGGCCCCTGACGCAGTGGAACGTGGCCAATGCCTGCACGGTCTCGTGCATCGCACACGACCAGGCGCAAAAACTGCCAGCCCTGGGAGATCCTGGGAGCTTGGGGGCTATGGTGTAACGAGCAGGATATTACCCTCTGGTTATGTCAAAATAGCTATTGAAAATGACAATTTATAGTGAGTTTTCCCATTAAAAATGGTGATTTTCCATAGTTATGTTAGTTTACCAGAGGGTATAGGATTTATTGGGATTTCAATACAGGATTTCAATGGGATTTCATGGGATTTTAGTGGGATTTAATGGGATTTCATTGGGAATAGAATGGGATTTTATTGGGATTTCATGTGAATATAATGGGAATATACGTAGTGGGGAGTATGGATATCAACCAACTTTGGACATATTTTTTCAGCAATCATGTAATGGGAATATAATTACGGGGACATAATGAATGGAGACAATATGAGATAATAATAACATTAATAACTAATAGTGGGATGGGGATATTTCATGGGTATGTATGACTTATATATATATTTGTACAATAGAACCAGCTATATAACCAGCTAATTCATCTAAAAATGGGTTTTTTCACCATCGAACAGCTGACCTAGTGACCACGTGGGTAGTATTGGAACTATGCATGTTGGAGTGGGGGATGGCTTTTGACGAGTTGATGGTTCTGTTGATGGTAAGTTTGGTTTATCATTGTTTTATGATTTCTGATGGTAAGACAACAGTGATGATGATGATGATGATGATGATGATGATGATGAAAATCAACTAAAGCGGTAAACCTAATGGTACTTGCTCAAATTCAGGATTGTTCATGATTGGATCCACCACGGTACAATGGTGATATTATTATGTGAATTCATTATTGATACAAGCACTGTTACATGTAGACATATTGATATACAGAAACATCATACAGAAAAGTTAGACTGCTATAGAACCATGACAATAGCATTGCTGGTTGGTGGTTTGGAACATTTGAATTATTTTTCCATTCAGTTTGGGAATTTCATTTTATCCCAACTGACAAACTCATATTTTTCAGAGGGGTAGGTTGAAACCACCAACCAGTATATTACCACTGTTGCTAATAAATCCCAATGATTATCCCAGTAATTATCCCAGTAGGTTGAAACCACCAAGCAGATTGCCATTGCCATTCCATCAAACCAAACGAGTTTTATGGTGACAGAAACCACGGAACTCGGGATTCACCACCAACTTTTCGGACAGCTTCGACATGTGTACAGCATCCATCATATTTGATCCCCATATGTCTGAGGTTTTTTTAGTGCCCAAAAACGTGGATAAACTCAGGTGTGATGATTATTTTATTGGGATTTAACACCTGAGGCACCTCATTTTTTTGGTAAGCTCTCTGAAAATCATGAGAAGACGTGCCACTTGCCATGCTTGAGGAAACGGCTTTGGATCTTTGACAGACACAACTTCTGGTTGCGATTCGAATTCCCAGAATCATTTCGGATTACTGTAAGCTGCGACCTCCAGTTCTCTTCTGTTTGTGTCGACTAAGCCGCCGGTCACTATTTGGTGACATCCTCTTCACATACCAAAAACTGAAAAGATGGTTAACACACATTAAAAGCCACTGCCCAAAAACACTCAACAAGTGGCCAATTTTGACCGATCAACAAGTGGCCAATTTTGACGTCATCTGTCCAAAATCGGCAGGTCTCAGCACCGTGTGGTGCAGTGCAAGACTGCAAGGGAGATGTTCCTTGGACGTTTCAGCTCCGTTTGTGAAGGTGATTCCCATCCTGATAGGTCAAAGTGACTGCAGCTTGAGCAAAACTCACCTGGATACAGAAAATCAGAAAATCCACCAGTTGTAAACCATTCCGAAAGGGAACCACCATTTTTCTATGTGGTAGTTTACTAGAGGGTATATGTGATTTAATCAAATTCAATGAGGGTACAATGGGTTTCAAAGGAGTGAAGCATCCCTGTCAATGGCTGTAGGCTCTGGCATGGGGATGAGTTACCACTGGAACTCCCAGGGCAACGTAACTGGAACTTCCCAAGTTCGGTTGTTTGAACCCTTGGCTTTGCTGGGTACTCATCTCAACAGGGTTTCCTGTGATACTCCCCCATTTCTGCTGGTTCCCATTTTTGTTGGATAGCAGTTATATAAACTCGATTGTGACAATAATAACAATCATAACATACAGTTATAGTTATATATATATAGATATTAATACATGCATGAATGGTATGCGTTTTTTCCTGTCACATATTTTCCACCAGCAAGTACCCTCTGGTAAACGTTTACATAACTATGGAAAATAACCATGCTATTAATGGGTAAATCCACTATTTCTATGGCCATGGCTTCAAGTTCGCGAAGTGTTCGTTTACCAGGCCGGGTATCCTGGAACCTCGAAGCCCTGAGGCCATCATTCCCAACTTCCACCAGAACTATCTGCGCATCGTCTTACCCTCGGCCATGGCCACCATCACGGAGGCCGCTTCGCCATTGCCGCGGGGGGGAAAGGCTCCATGGGTTTTGGCCGATTTTTTTTTGGGGAAAGGGCTAGATTTTAAGATGACTTCAGAGAATTACTTGATATGTGTTCAACTGTTCTTCTCGTTTTTTTTTGTTGAGTAAATTTCATAGACTATTACCCTCTGGTAAATTAACATAGACCCTGAAAATAGCCTAGTTTTAATGGACACTAATCTTCCAACCCATATCTGCCAGGGTCTATGTTAATTTACCAGAGGGTATGGTTTGAGATGCTTCTTTTCACACATCTTCACATCGTGAATCGTTTGAGTCACGACCCTTCCCTCCATCTCGTTTCGCTGGAAGCTCCCCCAAATCGCCGGTGAATTCGTTGGGGAAGATCAAGAAATATGGGGGGTTAGCCAACAATCGTGTCCTTTTGGGGGGATACAATGGGAATATTGGTATGTATATATATATATATTATGTATATATATATATAAATAATATATATATATATAATATGTACATAATCACATTGGGAAGACGGGTGTGTTTCAGCATGGAATCTGCCCCCACCTGGCCGTTTTAACATGTTTTAACATGTTTCACATGATGATAAACCCATCATAACATAAGGGCTATGCTTCAGAGAAACCCTGATGAAGAGTCAGCGAAATGGAGAAGGCATGAGGGACGAGCATTGGCCAATTTTTTCATTGGGCTATAGCATTCTGGGTGTTTACCATTAATATTACCATAATATATATATAACACCATTGTACCGTTATATTCCCGAAGCTTCGGTTTCGTTATTTTTTTTGTGTTTTTTCTCGTTTTTTTTTTTTAATACCCGCATCAAAAGCAACTCATCCTACCTCACCTTCGACGCTGAGTTTGTGAGCCACACCTTGGTCTTTCCGGATTTGGTGCTGCCCCAAGGAGGCGCTCTCGAGGGGCGGGTCTGCACCGACGTCGGAACACGGTGGTTTGTTTGAATTGTAAACATATGGATACAAGGTGGTGCCCCATAGTTAGCTAAGTTGGTTTATAACTCCCATAACTATGGTTTATGGTAGATATAACTATAGTTAATGGGGTTTATAAACCAACTTATAACTGGGGGGCACCATCCTGTACAAATACTGATATTCTTCTAGCAAACAAATTGATTTCCCCATAATATCTATATCTCTGTAGAACAACCCAAACAATCCAAATTGAAGATCCAGCAAGACATTCTCATTTACCTTAGTAGTGCTCCCATAAGATTCCAGCATTATTCCACCATATTCCCAGAACATTCCAATCATGTCAACCACAGAATACTATGGTCAACAGTGGGGTTACTCCCAAAGGTGATTTTTTTGTCGCTACTTCAATGGTACCCCCGAATTTTCCACAGCCCAGGAGCCCAGGGCCTAAAAAAAATCTGTGGTTGAAATCCCTTTCATCATTCATCCCTTTCATCCGGTTTCCCAGAAAATCTTCCCACGAAAGCAGCAGGGACTGCAGGGATACTCCAAGCCATGGGAGGTTTCTTCTCCACCCGCTTGGCCGCACAGATTTCGAAGGTGCGGAGGAACCGAGGAACTCCGAGGAACTGATGGGAAAAAACATGGGAGAAAAACATGGAAAAAACCATGGGGGATTTTAGCCGAGAAGCATTGGCTAAGTTCGTTGGACCAGGTTTTGACATGTGGTGATGGTTTTCCATGGCACTCCCCCATGGTAAGCCCCCAACAAAAGGGGCGTAAGATGTACCCTCTGGTTATGACTAACGTAGCCATAGAAAATCATCATTATTAATAGGCAAACCATCTATACATGGGCAATTTTCCATGGCTATGTTAAATAACCAAATGGTAAGAAGCATCAAAAAAACATCAGAAAACAGGGGACGATGGAGGTTAATCTCCGGGCATAACTAACCTACCTCTGCGATCCTTGCTTTTTTTTACGTGACCGATTTCTAGAACCAGTGGATTTCCTTGGAGGATTATCCCATTTAGCAAATGGTTAGTAATCACAGTTATAAGTAAGCATTGTTTATAATCATTACCCCATTGTTTAGGATTTACTCAATTATAATCATAGTTATAATTACCATTGGTTAGTAAACATAGTTATATGTAAGCAATTCATGTTTGGGATAACCGACATCGGAGACCTCCAAGGCTCCGTTTTTTTGTTTTTTTTAGTTGTCGCTGTGGGCGATCTCCGAATCCCCTTTTTGGTTGGATAAATCCACACTTTGTCCCAAGTTGGAGGGGTTGAATGCTGCCAGTAATAATGACTGGTTGGTGGTTTGGAACCAGCAACAAATAGGGATTTAATGGGATTTAATAGGGATTTATATATAACCATTATAAATGGTATATCATAACTGGTTGGTGGTTTGGAATATAATTTTTACTTTCCATAGTAATTATATAGGATAATCCTTCCCAAACTGACGAACTCATATTTTTCAAGATGCTTAAAACCACCAACCAGATGATGATGATGGTTGTATGATGTTGTATGTACCCCATGTTTGGTTGGACGGACATATACAAATGTTATCCCGTTTTTGGTGGCTAACCCCCTGTTTCTACACCATTTCCACGGCCACGGACACTCGCCACACCAGTTGGTTCTTGTTGGTGACATCTGGAAAATTTTGTGGCTCACAGTTCCCACCTTGAAACATCCATTTCACTTTCCTGATCAGGCTTATTGAGCATTAATTATGATCATTATGATCATTATGGCTTATATTAATTGCTCATATCCATTTCTATCCTCATGTTTGGTTGGTTAAAATACCAAGATGGTGCCCGTGAGTGTTTGACTTACCATAGATATATCATGAAAGATCATAGATCTGGGTAAATTTCATCACGACCTCACTGTTCTCCCGAACCCTGGAATCATGGTTAGGATTCGGGGAATCATCCCCAAATGGGCCGAACAATTCAGGTTAGTGAAATATTATAATTTACCCAGATGAATACCTATCATGAACCTTACGGTTGCCAATGAAAAGACTCCCAGCCGAGCGAGGCGGACGACACCAAACCGCACTACACGGAGAGTTCCGGGGACTATCTCTACAAAATGCCGGACGAGGGAGCAGCTTGTTGCACGGACGGGGAGTGGATTGCTGCGTTTTGGTGAAGATGTTGGGGAGTTGTGGGGGAATGGATGGAATATGATGGAATATGATGGAATATGGTGGAATAATTATGATGGAATATGATGGAATGGGGTGCTGTTGCGCGTTTTTTTTTTTAATGGGGGATGGAAGTTTGTGCTGATTCAACAAATTGGGAGTGGATTCTTGTAGAAATTGATAGTGTTGGTATCTGGTTGGGATCACCACCACCAGCCATCAAATTGGCAACGGCAAAGCATGGAGGAAACCATGGGGATTTCACCATCAAGCATCGGTTTTGTTTCCCCCTGAATGCGGGGATCTTTTGTTTATGGGATATAAGAATATGATATGATATGATATGATATAATATGATATGATATAATATGATATGATATGATATGATATGATATAATATGATATGATATAATATGATATGATATGATATGATATAGTTATATAATGCATGACACATGTAACCAACAAGATGGCTTTGGGGGTCGAAAACCGGTGACAGTTTTTTTCCCACCGAATGCCGAAAAAAACCAGTAGGGAAATGAGGCTTGAACCCGACGGATGGCTGCCAGCTACACTCTGGTAATTTAACGTAGCTATGGTAGCCATGGCCCATTTAGTTTGATGATTTACATTGATTTACCCTCTGGTAAACTAACATAGCGAACTGGAAAGATCCACCATTTTGAATGGGAAAATCCACTATTTCTATGGCCATTTTCAATAGCTACGTTAAATTACCAGAGGGTACCTATAAACAATGGTGATTTTCCAGTTCGCAAACCGTGAAATGGCCGCTACTCTGACATGAAAACCAGTGGGCCAGTGGTGATGTTCGAGTTCGCATCGCAGCCTTCTGCTGAACGCCCAGGTGGGTGTTGGCAAACTCGTGGAATTTTACGGAGACGGCGATCAGCGACCCTTCCGAGGGGACCGGGGGACCGGATGGGAGATGAGGGTGGCAAAAATGGCCATCTGGGGAAGATACCCGGATACCCCATTTCCAGACACACCCCAAAAAAAAACACATGAACTGGTTGGTGGTTTCAGACATGTTTTATTTTTCCATTTCATATATTGGATAAGCCTTCCCAAAGTGACGAACTCCATCATTTTTCAAGATGGTTAAAACATGTTATTGCACGACCAACCAGATGAAATTACACATGTACATTGCACCACCAACCAGCTGGTACTTATGATTCCCCCTGTGACTTTCCTTTTCACACGCGGCACCACCAACGAGAAACATTGGGCGATGGGACTATATGGGACTTTGGGATTCCACATGACCCAACCAAAATCGGTGTATCATCAATGGCCATTTTTCAGGGTGGTGTCCAATATCCCAAAAATGGGGACATTTACAAATCCCTGGATTCCATGTTGCTTTTCCCATGTTTTTTCTGGCGTTGTTCCAAGCTGATTCCAAGCTGCGTCCGGAGGACCTTCTCAATATTTTGTACGCCAATCTGGTCCTGCCAGCCACCCTCTTTGCAGCGGTTCAGACAGCAGATGCCGCTCGCTCGGTTCTGCGGGATGGAGTGGTAGGTTAGAGGGTGAAGATTTGACCATAGGATTTCTTAGGAAATGAGGAATGCCTAGACCGCCCCAAAGCAGAAATCAATGTTTGTTTCAGCTTGTTTTCCGATGGTAATGACGAGTCACATAACGCATGATTTTTGTTGATTGGATGATCTTGGATGTTTGCTTTCATGACCATTGATATTTCTGGTTCTGTTTGGCCAGGATGTTCCAGATACATTTCAAGTCTGAGAGGTCTCAAAGGTCCCGGTTCCTGTGGTTGACCGTGAGGCAACATCCTGGATATCCTGCACTATAAATAATTGGTTGGAATTCAGGCAATTTCCATCAATTTCCAGATTTTTGATTGTCATTTGATGCTTGATTTCTGAAGCCGAAAACTTTTTGACGCAGATGTGAACAGACCGTGGCAAAATCTAGGTCACTTACGTATCACTTATATGAGCTTGAAACCATGGCTTTCATTGTCCTGAGGCAAGTCTGACTCTCACACTGCCTGAAGGATACGAATGCGTGCGGGAACCTGAAACCGGAAAGGTTCGCAACTTGGGTGAAAGATGCCAAAAGAATTTCCCAAAAAATGTTGTGCTGGTGGACATGCTCAGAGGGAATTCATCTGTCCATGTGATTCCTGGGGCTTGATAGGGATGATACTGAAGTTCCGAGCGGTCTCTGTGAAGTCGGTTTCAACATGTTGCAACTAATATCCTGAACATGTTCGAATTATCCTGGAAGTTGGGATTGATAATAACCTCATCTGGTTGGTGGTTTGGAACATGAATTTTATGACTTTCCATATATTGGGAATGTCATCATCCCAACTGACGAACTCCATCATTTTTCAGAGGGGAAGGGCTCCGCCACCAACCAGTCATTGTGAAGTAGCTGGGGCCCACTGCACATGAACTCTCCCACTTATAACACGATACTTGGGAGCTGGACCTACTCAATGCCCAATTGAGAGCCTATGGAGATAAATCCACAAACATCAAATTATCCCCAACGCGTTGTTGATCAAATCCATGTCTTTTCTTTAATGCACGTCGTTGCCTGGTGAAAACCATGGTGAAAAAACTCACGTCTTTTGGGTGAGAATCCAAGGAACGTTTGCTGGTGAAGTTTTGTATCTAACCATTTTGCTGGTTGAAATCGGAGTATTCATTCCAACAAACGTTTTTGCTAGTTAAATCACCACATTTTCTGGCTGAAGATCTGAAGCCTATTCACACATTTGATACATCTGGAAATTTATACATTTGATTCACTATTTATTTGATACATATGAAATCACCATTCCATTCTTTAATACACTCTGGTTATTTAACATAGCCATGGAAAATGGCCCATTTATAGATGGTTTACCTATTAAACATGGTGATTTTCCATGGCTATGTTAAATAACCACATGGTCGGTATGAGATATAAGTTAACATCACCAATTTCATAGATCTACTCAAACTCAAATCACCGTTTCATTCCAATTCCCTTTTCCAATCATCATTGAATACTGATTGGTGGTTTGGACGATTTTTTACTTTTTCATATGTTGGGAATGTCATCATCCCAACTGACGAACTCCATCATTTTTCGGAGGGGTAGGTATACCACCAACCAGAATATCATCATTTCATACATCTGAAAACCCAATGGATTTTACTCCTCACCACAATGCCGGTGTCATTGTGTGAGGTGCGCACAGCGGATATCAATGGCGAGAGCCCTTGGAGAGCAGAGGAGGGGGCTTAGAAAAATACCCAGCTGACGGGGATTTGATTGCATAATATACACTATGATATTTCAGGTTAAGGCTAGTGCTATATACATATACATATTTATATATACATATACATATTTATACATATACATATTTATACATATACATATTTACACACACACATATATATATATATCCATATACATATATATGTATATGGATATATATATACATATATATATATATATATCCATATACATATATATATATACATATATATATCCATATATATACATATATATATATACATATATATATACACATATATATATATATTTATACATATATATATACATATATATATACATATTTATACATATACATATTTATACATATATATATATATATATATATATATATCCATATATAAATATTTATGCATATATATGTATTTTCATCATATACCCACAATATCTATATATGATTTATCCAGATGTATGGCGATATATATATATATATATCTATTCATTGTTTTTTATTTTGGGTTAGTGATACTCACATACATATGTGCATATATATTGTTTGATTTGATTGTTGTATATGTTGGGGGGTATTATCTTATATCATTGATAAATGATATGGGGAGTGGTGTTCCACTACTATATATATATATATGTATGTGTATATATGTATATATATATATGTAGATATAATTAATGTATATATAATATATATGTGTATGTATATATATATATATGTGTATGTATATATATATATATTAAAATTATATATATTCATATCTTTCCCCCAGCCGCGCCAGGATACCTTGGGCGTCTTCCAAGACGAGATTCCACAGGGGACCGGATCTTTGGATGAAGGTGGTGGCACCAGGCGCGACAAAATCCAGCGGATCCCACAGAAAAAAAACCGGGGGGTTTTGGAATGGGAAAATCATCGAAAAAATAGGGAATTCACCACGGAAAATAGATGAACATAGTGGTTTTATGTAGTTTGGGTTGATGGTTTTACCATGATTCTAATGATTATCTAATGATTTTGGTCAGGAAAATGAGGAAATCAGTTGGTGAAGGGTGGCTGAATGCTTTGACTTTTGCTACCAGTCAGGATGCACGCTACCCTGCTAGAGATGTTTCCGTTTTTTCGCAGGACATATACGATTCGCCATGTACAAACTGAGGATAGTCCATGAATAAACGGCACAATTAGCATCCACGACTACAAAATGTGTTGATACCATGCATAAGTTGGTTCGTGCTGGCAAACAGAAACACTAGATGTCATGTAACTTCAACATCTCATAGTCATGCCGAAATGTGATCGGCGAAGACCCACTTTAGACATATCAAAAAAACTCTGGCGTTGAAAGTAACAAGATGCCAGCTGGGAGTGGCTTGATTTAGTGAGGCACCACCCGCAAAGGGAATCCCACGCTTTGTCTTCCGTATTTTTCTCCATTCACATCGCACAGTTTCTGGGTCCCCAATTTTCAGACACCAAACAGGTTCTTAAATTATATTAAGTTGGTTGCTAGGGAATATCCCATAGATATCCCATAGATATCCCATGGATCCGTTACGGATCTCCCCGGCAAACGAAACCGCCAACGTCGGCAGGGGTTGGTCCGTGAACGGCAACGTCTGCGTGCGGGACCCAGGGATCAAATTTCGTGGGATGAAATCCTGCAGGGTAGAAGGCTCCAAAAAATGGTGGATTACCCTCAAATAAACTGGAAAGATCAATATGGTGATCAATATGGTGATCAATAGTGATTGATAGTGATTAATAGTGATTGATAGTGATTAATAGTGATTGATAGTGATTAATAGTGATTGATAGTGATTGATAGTGATTAATATATCAAACAACTCTGGTAAATGTTTAGAAAAAACTATGGACAATCACCATGTTTAATGGGTAAATCAACTATTTCTATGGCCATGGCTTCAATAGCCAACTGTTAAAAATTACCAGAGGGTAATCCCATTAATGGTGTAATGGGATAATAAATAATGGGTTATTTGGATTATTTGTTGTTATTTGGTGAAAATTCACATTTAATTTGGTTATTTCACATTTAATTTGGTTATCCCAGTGGTTACAATGAACATGTTATGATATTAATTAATGGTTGATGTTATGATTAATTGATAAATAATAGTGGAGGTTTATCACATTAACTGGGATGTTTACCACCTATTCACTGGTGCAGCAGAAATTGCAACCATCCACAGTAGGTCACTAGTTATGATACGAACGAATGATTGAACGAACGAACGAACGAACGAACAAACAGCCTTTAAACAAACTAAGTATGATGAAATGGCTAAGAATACTAACTAAGTCTAACTGTGTCCAACGAACTAATCAACTAACTGATTAACTAAGCAAGTAACTGATGTTAGTATTTTTATTTTTATAACTATGTTACTATATGTCAGTCTGACTATTTGCAATGATGCAAACTGGTGGTATGGTTAGCTATAATATGCTATAATACCAACCTAGGTTATACTAAGTACAAACAACTCAGTAGTGTTGATACCCAAATACCCTCTGGTAATCAAACGTGGCTTGGCTGGAAAAATCCATAGAAATCCAAGTTTGTAGCTGGGAAAATCATCAAACTAAATGGGGGGTTTTCAATTGCCACGTTTGATTACTGGAGGGTTTTCTGGTAACTATTGATACTAACTGGCTGGTAGTTGGGATAATGATGCTAATGAGAATACTCCCTAGTGGAAACTATTTACCCTCTGGTAAACATACAAAAAACTATTGAAAATCACCATTGTTAATAGGTAAATCAACTATTTCTATGGTCAATTTTCCATAGCAAACTGTTAGTTTACCAGAGGGTATCCATATTTGTCCTAGCACAATCGGGTATGATCACTCCATTCTCCATTAGTTATTACTACTATGCTATTAGAACTACTCACTATTCACTATGCTAACTCACTATTACTAGTAGAAACTATTTACAATAACTCATGGTATTTTTTTTTTTTTCTGGGATGATCACTCCACCACTTGACAAACGGCCTGGTAAACGTTGACAAAAAACGATGGAAAGATCCACCACTTTATAGCTGGGTACATCAACGATTTCTATGGCCATTTTCTATGGTAATTTAACATAACTATGGAAAGATCCACCACTTTATAGTGAATTTTCCCCTGAAAAACGGTGATTTTCCATAGCTTTTTGTTAGTTTACCGAGGGTAACTTGTTTGTATTTCTTGGGTTAGTTTCTCCACTGAGCTATTGGGGGAGCAACCCCAATTGAGGAATTTACTCGGGTGAATCGCACCAGTTGCGATTCGTGGACCGATCATTCTCCAGGTGCATACGCAACAACCAAAGACATCAAGAAACAACGTTTTCATCAAGATGCACCGACGAATGAGACTGTTTTGGGTAGCTGGATTTGTGCGGATTTCATCAACAGTGAAGCTACCCTCTGGTAAACATACAAAAAGCTATTGAAAATGGCCCAGTCGAAATAGTGGTTTTTCCCATCTGAAAAATGGTGATTTTCCCATCAGTTTTTTGGTCATGTTTACCAGGCCGGGTAACACCTCCAACAGACATAGCTTGCTGACCCGCCTGCTTCGTGTGGTCGGGCGAGTCGAACATGATATGGGGATGGGTCAAAACCCTGGTACCCCTGGTGAACCCCAAGTCATAGCTGGGATTTATGGATGTGAATATCCCACTAAAAATGGTATGTATAGGTATTGATCCATACCCATATCTGGTTGGTGGTTTGGAAGTTATTTTTTATATTTTCCCCAATAGTTGGGATAATGATCCAATCTGACGAACTCATATTTTTCAGAGGGGTAGGTATACCAGCAACCAGATATAGAAACACATACACATGCATTATTTTCCAAAGATCACCACGTTTGAGTACCGAAGGGTAAAGTGTGAGACTACAACTGGTTGGTGGTTTGGAACAGTTTTTATTTTTTTTCCGTATATTGGGAATGTCATCATCCCAACTGACTAATATTTTTCAGAGGGGTAGGTATACCACCAACCAGATAATATTCTGGGTAAATTTCATCACGACCGAACCCTGTTCTCCCGAACCCTGGAATTATGGTTAGGATTCGGGGAATCATCCCCAAATGGCCCAACAATTCAGGTGAGTGAAATATTATAATTTATAATTTACCCAGAATATTGGTCAACATTCTAAGAACATACACGTTTTTTTGATTGTGTTGAACTTCCAGGTCCATATCCCTTGGTGGTTCAAGATTCCCCATCTCTGTGTATTGCTTTGTCGGTTTGCCGCAGGGGCGTGATACAGCTTTCCCCAATAAACAAGGTAGTAACAGGTAGCACAAGCAACCAATCATTCATGAATTATATCCCGATATGAAATGTGCTTAGAACCCAGATTTCATGGTCAAATCACATTATAAGAACCACCTGGAAGCCCAACCAGAAATAGCCATGGTGGTTTTCCCGTTTCCAAACAGTGCTGCAGGCTTTCTTCACGTTTCCATAGGGAAAGCACCAGTGTAACCCGGCTCTTTGGGAGTTCCAGATATAACAACCAACCAATCCATCATTTCTACCACTTATCACTTCTATCGGCATGTCTAGTGATAGTGGTTATATCATGTTATATCGCTTATTGTTTCTCTCGTTAAACACCATATTTGGGGGCTTTTTCTCCCACTTTTTAGCCCATTGTTTCACCATACATGACACAACCCACAGGGCTGGGCCGCGGGCTGGGCGTGTCACAAAATCGCATCCCGCAGTTGTTCACCCTGCGACAGAATGCCGTGGTCTACGCTGGAAGCTCCCTGTACATCAGGGTGCCGCGCCATGGAGTTGAATCGTTTAGAAAAAAACCATGGAAAGATCCACCATTTTATAGCTGGGCAAATGAACTATTTCGACTGGGCCATGGCTTCAATAGCTTTTTGTATGTTTACCAGAGGGTATCCAGTACCATGTGGCTATGAGTCAAAATTAAAAACCTGAAAAAATACACAGAAAAACATGTCTATCTTTAGTAGTAACCGTCCAAGACTTTTGGGGTACCCAATTTTGACCCCCAGCCATGTCATCATTTTTTACCCAGAAAATGCCAATGGCTCATTTTCGACCTCAGTGAAAACAGGGGATATTGTGGATCATCGCACGAGCTGTCACAGTAAAATGAGCCCCAAATGGCTGTCGGGGTGCCATGAGTCTCGACTCTCAGGGTACCGCTGCTTTGGGGTGGTTTAATCTTCACCCTTTGGTCATCGTCGCAATGGAAAGTGCCCGAACTAAATGGAGGTTTATAGTTCCAGCCAGCCAATGTTTGGTACATCTCCCATAAATCAATCCATTTCTGACTATGGAAGATTCTCTACAAAACAAATTGAACGAACGGATGCACATGATTGAAATGAATTGGGTATCGTCATTGCAAGGGTTGTAATCTTCATTCTTGTGGGCTTTATACCCTCCGGCAATCAAATATGCCAATGGAAAATCCACACCATTCATAATCTGGTTGGTGGTTTCAAACATTTTTTTCCCATAATATATGGATTGTCATCCTTCCCATTGACGAACTCACATTTTTCAAGATGCTTATTGCACCACCAACCATTCATAATGAATTTTCCCCATATTATACCATTTCCACTATTTCCCAATATCAAAATTGTATATACATATATAATATATATATATATATACACACACACACACCATATATACCATTACCACCATTATCATCTCATTACCATTAACACATCCACAGAGTTCGGGGCATTTTTCCACGTTTGAGCGACCGGAGGCGAGCCCCGCTTCCACCGTGGTCAGGTGACAGCCAACAACCCCACGACGGCCTTGAAGCGGACGGACGCGGCCAACCGTTGGCAGGTAGGGTTCCGGTGGACACATGGGGGTTTCCATAGGTGGGGGGTACCCCAATTTATGAATGGTTTGGATGTATGGTCCCAAATAAGTGATTATCAACTAGTGAGCCATGGTTTCTAGGGGCGTTTAACATCGGGAAGGGGTTCCTTGCAGATGTAGGGGTTAGCTAAGTACACTGTGATGCCCAGCAGTGATGTTTCTTAGTTTAAAACCTCCAGAAACTTTATATATCTACCATGATCCCTGGTTCGTCATACACCAGCTCCTCGGACTATGGAGGCACCAAATTGTCACTAAGAAACATGTGGATGTGAAGATGACTTTACCTCAATGAGCATCGCTTGTCTGATTCATTTCGGATTCAGCAAACACCGATACGTGGATCTGCTTGTATGGAACTGGAAATCCTAAAAAATGGCTCCAGCGCAGCTTGGAGAAGTCGCGGGATATGCCTCGGATGGTCGGAGGTGGATCCTGGTGAAGCCCCGAATGCTGCCATGGAGAAATTCTCACGCTGTTCACCAGGGGTTGTCTGAACGAGTAAAAACACATTCCATCCAAAGGTTGATCATCACTCTATCATGAGTTTTGGTGAGTATACACCATATTTGCCGTTAAATCCGGGGGTTATCATCGTCCGCTGCTTTTTTTGGTGGGGTATACACCATGTTCAAACCAACCCGACCATCTTTGGGGTATTTGGATCAAAGCCGCGATGCCAGGTGACGTTGACCAGCAAGGGCTATCACCAGTACTACGTCACCTTCCCTCCAGTCTCAACACACAGGGGTTGTGGGAGGACGCGCGGAGGATGAGTAGAGTATATTTTTCAGTGGTTGAGCCAAGGAGCTATGGCTAGTGGAACTAGTGGAACTAAACAGCTCAGGCTATCCATATTCAACATTATTCAACCATATTAGTGGAACTAAACAGCTCAGGCTATCCATATTCAACCATATTCCCCTATTCAATTTTTGTAGCCATGGAGCTAGCCCCAAGAGTTTCACAACGTCATAGGCCATGAAAATCATCCCCAAGGGACTGAGCCGCGACAGGAAAAAAAACTCGACTGGATTGGGGATGATTGGGGCTGTAACCATCCATTTGATGGTTTTTTGAACATCAAAGACTGGTATAAAATATCACTGTTGGGAAATCCCCACTTTTTATGGTTTAGTTTATCCCATAGTTTATCCCATTACAGTCCCAGTGTTTCAGGAAAACCTACCAACAAACGGCATCCCAACTGGTGCTGATCATCGAGGTGATTTTCAACACCATCATGCAGAACTTCAGCTCCAATACGGCTGGGAGGGCCTTGATTGGTTGATGAGTTATGAGAAAACCGGGGAGTAAGTTAAACTACTGGGCTTTACTATGGATTTTTTTGAGCCATAGGGAAACATATCAACCAGCTATCATGAATGAATCTTTTTTGCCATTGAAATTTGTCAGAGAATCATCTAGAAATGGGGATTTCCAAAAAAGTCAGGTGAGAATTTGTCAGAATTTGAGGGGCCCGGCCGGTTTTTTTTTGATCAGTCGATCAGTTAGCTATGCAGATGGGATAGCCCCAGCCGAATCTTCGGGACTTGCGATAGCAGTGGGGGTAGATCAGCCATTTCAGGACTCCAAAAAATAAAAAGCTGGTTGGATAGAGAAAAGAATACATCCCAGAAAATTTAACGAAATGAACATAGATGGTAAACATGTGAAAATTTTTGCATTCACATGATCTCAGAAAATGGATATCATACTCATTTTATCCCATTATGTAATGATATCATATCATATCCATCAAAATGACCAATCAGAAAAGTTATACCGACAGAGACCATTATCATCGGGACACCTTTGCATGTCGTCGTCGCATGTTGACCCTCAGTGGTGCGATCGGGCTGGTGAAATCTCGAGTTCGAATACTTGCATCATCTGATAAGATCTTCGAAATGTTGAGAAACTTAAATGTGAAACACAACTTAAATCTGTGAATGATTTACATCCTAGATCATCCTAGTTTTTTCCGAGCGATTGTCTGGACTGACAAACATCACCAAACGATCCCAAGTGGCCACTATTTCAGTTGAGTGAATTATCCATAAATTATCATATTATGTATAAAGTAACCCCAATAAGATAGAACCGTGATTTATCACTATTTCAGAAATGGATTTTCGTTAGGGTTATACTTTTCAATACTTTCTATTTTTTCAGGAGCTTAGTATGTATATATTATAGTATATATTATATAAGTCATAGGTGTCTCCCAGATCATCCAAGTCATTCGACCATGGCTTAGTATTGAAACCCATGGGTTTGGGGATCCCGGCTGACTTAAGAAACCCCCAAAAAGGGCCCCATAGTACTAGGAGTTATATGCAATCTTTTTTCAGGCTTTATGACCATACAACATTGTATAACCATCTATAACCTCTATAACATTGTATAACCATATATAACCATATATAACCATATATAACCATCTATAACCATCTATAACCATCTATAACCATCTATAACCATCTATAACATGGTGTAACCATGGTTATATCCATTTAAGTGAGCTCATAGATCTCCCACGTCAGGCGGTGCTTGGGAAGATCCTAGATCCATTGATCCTGCCCACAAATCCCATGTACTCCGTTCGGCTCCCTGGGCTTTTTTTTGGCGATGGATTTCTGGATGGGTCAAGTTACCTACAATGTGAGGCCCCCAAGATAGCCCAGTTGGTTTAGATTCGCCCCAGTAACTATAATGTTGGTTCCTGATTAGTGTGTGCCCCCCCCCCCTCCCTAAACTATTTCTGGACTCTCTTTAAAGTAGAAAAGCAAAAAAATTCTTCCCAAAAGAAAAACATATCCTCGATTAAGTAAGGATTTCAATTGGCTACAATTGAAATCTAATTACTATTGTTTTTTTTGCCGATGAAGTTGTGGTATTTGTAGTACTTGTAGTACTTGTAGTACTTGTAGTACTTGTAGTACTTGTAGTACTTGTAGTGTAGTACTTGTAGTACTTGTAGTACTTGTAGTACTGTAGTACTTGTAGTACTTGTAGTACTTGTAGTACTTGTAGTACTTGTAGTACTTGTAGTACTTGTAGTACTTGTAGTACTTGTAGTACTTGTAGTACTTGTAGTACTTGTAGTACTTGTAGTACTTGTAGTACTTGTAGTACTTGTAGTACTTGTAGTACACTTGTGGTACTTTGTACTTGTAGTACTTGTAGTACATGTAGTACTTGTAGTGTAGTACTTGTAGTACTTGTAGTACTTGTAGTACTTGTAGTACTTGTAGTACTTGTAGTACTTGTAGTACTTGCAGTACTTAGTACTTGTAGTACTTGTAGTACTTGTAGTACTTGTGGAAAAGCTGTTCTTTAATAAGGGTTTAATATCCTTTGGGAAAGGCTTGGAGTTTGAATTTGGCAATTTTGGAACAGGCTTGCTTCCCTTCTGGGCTTCCAGGGGCTGCTCTGGCACAGCTTGCTGCAATAGTGAACCCAGCAAACAAACCTACTAAAGTGAAATGGAGCCTCTCCTGGCCCAGGACCTTGGAAAATTGTGGAAAAGCTGTTCTTTAATAAGGGTTTAATAAGGGATTGGTTCTTTTGGGAAAGGCTTGGAGTTTGAATTTGGCAATTTTGGAAAAGGCTTGCTTCCCTTCTGGGCTTCCAGGGGCTGCTCTGGCACAGCTTGCTGCAATAGTGAACCCAGCAAACAAACCTACTAAAGTGAAATGGAGCCTCTCCTGGTCCAGGGCCTTGGAAAATTGTGGAAAAGCTGTTCTTTAATAAGGGTTTAATAAGGGATTGGTTCTTTTGGGAAAGGCTTGGAGTTTGAATTTGGCAATTTTGGAAAGGCTTGCTTCCCTTCTGGGCTTCCAGGGGCTGCTCTGGCACAGCTTGCTGCAATAGTGAACCCAGCAAACAAACCTACTAAAGTGAAATGGAGCCTCTCCTGGTCCAGGGCCTTGGAAAATTGTTGAAAAGCTGTTCTTTAATAAGGGTTTAATAAGGGATTGGCTCCTTTGGGAAAGGCTTGGAGTTTGAATTTGGCAATTTTGGAAAAGGCTTGCTTCCCTTCTGGGCTTCCAGGGGCTGCTCTGGCACAGCTTGCTGCAATAGTGAACCCAGCAAACAAACCTACTAAAGTGAAATGGAGCCTCTCCTGGTCCAGGGCCTTGGAAAATTGTGGAAAAGCTGTTCTTTAATAAGGGTTTAATAAGGGATTGGTTCTTTTGGGAAAGGCTTGGAGTTTGAATTTGGAAATTGCCTTTGGAAAAGGCTTGCTTCCCTTCTGGGTTTCCAGGGGCTGCTCTGGCACAGCTTGCTGCAATAGTGAACCTACCTTGACTGAGCTACAGCGTTTTTGAGAAAAACATGCCTCTCAGCAATTACAGTTTTTTTTGCAAAAAAAAGGGTTCTCCCAATTTTGTTTTGCCACAAAAGCGAACCCTCCAAACAATACATGAGTTTCAGAATAATTTGGAAAAAAATTGCCACAATAGCGACCCTAGGTACTAATCAGGACCCAACATTACTGGTTGGTGGTTTGGAACATGGCTTTTATGACTTTCCCATCATATTGGGAATGTCATCATCCCAACTGAAGAACTTATATTTTTCAGAGGGGTAGGTATACCACCAACCAGTATTAGTAATAGTTGGTATTATTTATCTACCAATAGTTGACTATTACTGACATAGTAATATAATACCAGCTATACTAGTACGAGTGGAATAGTAATAGGGAATATTAGCGGAACAATGTGGGTAAAACAATGCCATGTTTACCACCCATGACTGGGAATGGTCTATACCATCCATAAAAATGGTGATGACTGGGGGTGCAAATGGCATTGTTTCACCCACACCATATTTTGGGGGAATCAACATCCAGCACCAGCTATGACTTAGGGTACCGCCCCCTCGAGCCAGGGTTTTGACGAAAATAGCCATATGTAGGACATATAGACGTGAAAAACAAATGCACTAGGATATATTCTTGAAATTTTCTGAGTGTTAGCCTTATTGTTACTGCTGTTTTAGATCATGATACAACAACGAAAAGAACAACTACCGCTTATTTTTTGATCATAACAATCATTTGGCAATAATCATACAATAATCACATAATAATGATAGCAATAATTATAATCATCAATCACCTTTCAATGATATGCCCGAATTTCCCTTTCCCATTTCAACAATGATAATCATTTCCCAAATATAGTCATCCCCAAATAGATGGAAAAGTAAATCCCTACTAATTTGATGGTGATTCACTTTTCCATCTATTTGGGGATTACTATATATATATATAATCATACAATCATCATACAATCATCATTAACCATCATTAACCATTAGATAACCATTAGATAACCATTAGATAACCATTAGATAACCATTAGATAACCATTACATAACCAATCATCACCTGAAAAATTCCCATTTTCTTACTGGCCTCAAGGTGGGCGGCTTGGTGATGTCGCAGGGATTTTTGCACATCTTCTTCCGTTCAGAGCAGGCCCCGGGCCTGGCCCAGCCTGGCTTCTTTCTCGTTTGGTCAATGGCAAAACATGGAGATTTCCGTGCGGAAAAATGGAGAATATAGTGGGACATATATATATATATATAGAGAGATAGATAGAGAGATAGATCGATCGATAGATAGATAGATAGCTAGGTAGGTAGGTAGGTAGGTAGATAGATATCATTACATATCATTTATTGAGGGGATGTTTGGGCAACACTATGATGACATAGCTCTGGACCATCGGGATTGATCCTGAAAAAATCATGGTCATTCATAGGGATCATGAGGATAAACCAATTGAGTGCCAAGGGCCACAATGGGTAAGCTGGTATATGGAATATAATCCATATATGGAATATAATCCATATGTCAGTCATGTATTAAAATCTGATTTTAGGCATATATATATAATTATATATGATTAATTATATATATATAATTATATATATATATATAATAATATATATATATATAGATATAGATACAATCCATATATCAGTGGGGGTATTCCATACATCACTGGGTAATGTCGTATGCCTAAAACCCACGTTTTTTGCATCTGCGAGGCGCAGTTTATGCACCGGTACAGAAGTGATAAAATACTTGGCACGTCCCAGGTATTAAGCAGATAACAACAGCTAGTACCCTCTGGTTATT